CTCTGAGCTGATCAGGTTCAGAATAATTGTCACATTTGTGAGAAAGAGGGTTAGTCATCATATAGATAGAAACGACTTTTCCAAATGCAAAAAACTCAAATATAACGCGTAAACTTTCGTAACTGCTACCGATGTTTATAAATCGTTCATGACTCTTGTTGCCCAAAGAATTTGCAGACTTATCATAACTTGTTAATGTCCTTTAAAAGGTGCCACCTGTTGTTTGTCTATTTCCTATTGTATAAAGAGTTAAGTTACGTCTTAGCTAGAGCAGTACTTGAATGAGTCGCTAAAAACAGAGCGCCGGTTTTAAAGAAGAACCCTACAAAATGGAAACAATCAACAATTAAGTAGACCGCGAAAACGTTTTCTCAGGCCTTTTCGTGCGTAAACGCGCGCTGCCTTCGTGATAGCATGGTTCTACTGAGAATGAGGATGGAGATTCACAACTATGTGCTGTGTCTTGTTGTGGGTATTGCTCAGTGTCCATATTTCTTTGCATACATGGCAAAATGGGAGTAAAATGCATTATCTAAAGTAACGTAATCGAATTTCTATTTTTCAAAGTTAATAATGATGTTCGTGAGTGATTTTGTTTTAGATTTTTTATGTCCAACCCAAGAATTCAAGACATATTTCCGGCCTTTAAGAGTTTGAAACTTGAAGCCGTAATTAACTCTCTATCTCTGTATCTTCACGTCAGACGAGTCATAACTACGCTGGAAAATGTGTTTTCTGAAAACGACGCAGAGGTTATCATAGAGTATTTAATGGACTTTGGAGAAAGACATGAAGCATAGCCCGTGAGGGCAAAACATTTCGTTGTAGGTATTCTATTGTGCCGATCAAGGCTACTTAGAGGTACATAAAATGTTGTAAAGCGCTGTAGAGTGATGTAAACTGCAGAAGAGGGTAGTATAGTGCTATTAAGGGGTATATATTGTTGTGTAGCGCTTTATAGTGATGTAAACTGCAGAAGAGGGAAGTATAGTGCTATCTAGGGGTGCATATTGTTGTTTATGATTCATCAAATATTTTTGATGGCGGGAGATTGGTCTTAACGTAGCAAGTGACTGAATATCCCCCAGCTAAAGCTGGGTGATACCCGAGAATATCACCTAAGCGATATTCCCCAATTTGCAAACCTTACGTCCACCACGAAAAGTCATCGTTTCAAACTTTATTCAGTTCAGTAAGCTGTTCATAAAAATTTTTTCACGAGCGTTGCAAAATGTTTGAAGGATAAAAAACACAATAGCCTCTATCTCGCGCGAAAACATGTACGGACTAAGATCCGCACTTGTTTTTGGGCCAAATTGGAGAAATTGTTTATAAAGCGCTGTATGGTGATGTAAAATTCAGTAGAGGGAAGCACAGTGCTAACTGGGGGTACATATTGTTGTGAAGCGCTGCATTTACGGTGCTACTCAGGGTTATAATGTTGTACTGTGCTGTAGAATGATAAAAGTTGAAGTAGAGGGATGTATAATGCTAATGAAGGGAGGGGGGAGAGGGGCATATAGGCGTGCGTATTCGAGGAGTTTATTCTACGATGTAAGGAGACATGGAGTCCAATAATCGATGGAACATGTTTGCTTATAATGAATCTCCCAGGCTGTTATCGGCTACCTCATAGGAAGTTTTATAGTAAGTTATCTTTTCCTAATTATTGTTTTGTCGAAACTCTTTCCCAGGGTCTTCTCTGCGTCTACATCCAAGATGACGGCTACCGACTCTGTGGGGTCTGTGGATTGGTCTGCCGCCATCTTGGATTCAGTGAACCCTTGGCGAGAGTTTGACCCATTCTCAATCAGATGATAGAAGAGGTCTTAACTTGGACATTGAAGGACTCGTTTCCAACAAAATGCACTAATTATGTCGCCGAGACTTAGAGGAAGCTGTTCCGCTTTATAACTGCAACTGTGATGAGAGGACTGAGGAGAGCAAACACTGGCACGTGAGACTTAAAAGTCGAAAGGAAAACTGAGATTTTACCAGAGATGACGTTAAGAGGACACCATCCCAAAGTGGACAAAATAAGCATAATAACAACTACCCTGGGGGAGTAAGGAGGTAAATGAGTCGTAAGAAGCCTGGGGTTGCGCAAGGATTAAGACGAATGAAAACTGAAAGAGACAGGCGGATAGTCGCATCTATTGAAGCGCGCGGAAGAAAAATGCTGAGGGCGATGACCAAAGTGCGCGTAAAGATAGGATAAAGAGAAAGTGCTATGAAAAAAGGAAAGAATGAAAAAAAGGAAGCAGAAAAAAAGGGAAGCGCAAATGTGAAAAGGTGCATGAACTTGTGTGAGGAAAAAGGTGCACACATATAACAGCATAAACAGGTCCGTCGGCGTTCAAATCCGTGTGAGAATATGGAGAACGATAGACAGTGGAAGAGATACAATTGAAGAATCGACGCGCGTTTGTTATCTAAGGGTTTACGTGAGATGCAGAGAGAACAGATCCTATATGAACTTCAATGCTTGTTTTGACCGGCGCGCGCTAAGTTGATTATCTATGCAGCTGACAGTTTACTAACAATCTATGTTTCAAGCCTCCACCCACTTAACTTAGAATATGGAGACAGACAATAAAAGTCAACGCAGTTTTTGTATTTTTTACACTATATATTTCTCCTACACAAAAAAGGAAAAAAATAAGTACACTAGCAACTGCAATAAATCGTTCAAGGCATTAAGTAAAATACGCGCTAAACGGAGACACTTAAATTAACCCATTTACTCCCAAGACTGATCATAATTTAAATTCTCCTCACGAAATTAATACACCGACAGATATGGTTTCAATAACAATTAGAGAAAATCTAAACTGGAGGATAATTTTATGCTAAAAACGTGATGTTACATCGAATTCCTGGAATGAAGCAACAAAGAAACACATTCTTATCAGTTGGGAGAATTTTTCTTTTGAACTTGGGAGTTCACGAGTTAATTAATATACACTAAGGTAAATGAACAATTACCTTCAACTGTAAATAAAAATAGCATCAAAACACTTCACACGAAATAGACTGACATTATACAAAGCATATTTAGTTGAGAATGTCCCAGCTTGTTTTTAAAATCCTACGTTATATCATATTCAACCATGTGCGAGGTCAATTGCTACATTTTATACCAGCAGATACCAATGATAGTTGCGAAAATCTGCAAAATAAAGCTTGATTTTACAAAACGTTCTCGTAAACCAGCTGTGATACAGTATATCTTTTTTTGACCACATAAAGGGTTCTAATTACAAAGCGCGCTTTGAACAACTATAAATACTTAAATCTAAAAAGACATGAGACATTTTCAAATTGTACTAAGGTAGATTTAACGCTGTAATACAGTATATCTTTTTTCGACCACATAACGGGTTCTAATTACAAAGCGCGCTTTGAACAACTAACTATAAATTCTTAAATCTAAAAAGACATCAGACATCTTCATATTGTACTAAGGTAGATTTAAAGCAATGAAAAAAGTTTGAACGGGGAATTTTCAAAATTGAAAGTTTTCTTCTGAAGTCCTGAGCCTTTTCAAGCAAGGACTAGAGTTACATTTATTCATGAACCTTTTCACCAAAATAATTCCTATTGAGGATTACATGGCTTACTTTAACTACTTCTTTAATTTATTGGCGTAAATATTTTCCTACTGGAAAGAACAAGTTCCATGTCACTTACATTAAAAGTCACAGCCATGGGAACTTCAGCTACAGTGAACTGTACGTCGCTGTTTCCCTCTTTAGATTACACGGACAATTTTTAACTCTCTGTCGTGGTTCTTTAAAACGAACAGATAAGTGTTTGATAAAAAGGACTAAAATTGAAAAAAACAATTAAAAACAGGGTTTTAGCCAGTTTTCTGACTTGATGTAGGCCTGTTACCTAAGAAATTTCAACTTTTGTTTCAAGATTTGTAAGAGTCATATTATAAAAGTCAAGTGGGCTGAAAACAGTCGTAGGCCTACGGGACTAGAGGCTGGCCACACTCCTAAAAGTCAGTCTAATGTCTTTAACATACGGTCAGTAAATTCAATAACATCATCATCTCTGATGTTGACTTCTTCAAATTAAGCTTAGATGGCAATCTTGGCACTGATAGAATTAGATTGCATTAAGATGGATTTTAAAAAAATTAAAATCATCAATATTTTTGCAAAAATTATTGCAATTTGTAACAAAGTTATTTATAATATAGAAAAATCATCCAAGGTTAATATCACATAAGACTGCAAACTTTTCAATTCAAATTTTTGAAATTAAAATTTCGCCAACCTTTTGCAAATGACGCACTGTTTCTTTGCATATCAAAAGCTTGGAGTATAAACGCAGTGAAGACCCTGTGGACAAGCTCCTGGTTATGTACAAGAACAAACCTTTAAATTGTTTTCTATACAGCTGATTGTAACACAGGAATAGAGCTAAGTACCATTTTGGCGAACACGAAAACCTTGTAATCGCCTTCAACTATTGCAGGTATTCATAACAGAAGCCTTGTTACATTTCGTTCTCTTCGGAAGTATTTGAATTTGTAAAGGTAAGAAAAAAAGACAATTCCACTGATCAAACTATAATGACGTAGACTGTTCTTATTTCTTCACCACAGTAAAGTTACACATCTCAAGTTCTACAAAACGAAAAAGTAAAAAGTAATGAAAAATAGCCAAAAATTGCAATTTGACGTCAACATCCTGGACATCGGCCATGTGCTGTCGAAAAAGAACTAGTCTCCCTGTTTGTACTGGCATATTTTGCTCACCAAAATTTTTGAGTTGTAGTCACTCTTAACTCGAAACAGTCAGAAAGTTCTATCGTATTTCGTTTGTATTGTAATTTTACTGGCTATAGGTGTAATTTCTGTTCGTAGAAAACCTGCCTTATTGCCTAACTGGATGTTACTCGGCTTGATTACTGGAACATTTGTGGGTTTTCATTGGAATACCTGTAGATGAATGGTTGAGTTTTCGCTTTCGAGTCTGCGTTATATCTATGAAGTCAAGAGTGATGTCATCTCCAATCAGCACAAAGGGCGCCCAGTATTTGATGTCGTGGAACTTCTTTGATTCTTTGAGGCTTTTCATGCTCAGGTTCAGTGACTCGCTTGCAGGTTTACCTTCTGCAAGGTGTTGATAAAAGCATTTCATGAACTCGAGAGTAGCCTCGTCATCAATCGCCCACAGGGACACCACAACAGACCGAGCACCAGCCCCCATAAAAGCGCGCGCAATGCCAACCACACCTTCAGCCTTGATCTCGCCCCGACCACTGTGGCAGCAACTGAGCACAACAAGTTTGGCGCGAAGTTGAACATTCAACACATCTCGAATCGTTAAAATGTAATCCTCCTTCTCCGTAGGCACAGTAGATATTCGGTCTAGGTCAGGTGTAAGAGCAATTTCGCCAGTTTCCGGACATCCGTGTGCCGCAAAGTGAACTAAGGAAACGGAACCGAGTCTTTTCAACACCTCACGATTCGTGGCTTGTCTGCCAGTGATTGGCGTGATATTCAGAATTTTTCCGATCATTTCTACTTCTTCTTTGGCACACGGAAGCTGCTCGAGGACTTTCTCTCCCTCGCTGTAAGTAACCTCGGATACCCACGGATCTCCTACAAGTAACGCTCCACTGCTTTTGTGATAATCATCTGGGCAATCGGAAATGAGTCTAAGACTTGTTAACGATGGAGCGAGTCGGATTCTGAACGATTCACACAGGTATTTAGAATTACCATCCTTCAATGCAGCGTAAGGAGCGAGCCACAAGGATCCATCGGGAATAATGAGTAGCTCATCCCCTTTAACCAGGTCAGCCACCGGCTTCATGAGGGTATCATACAAAGTGCTTAAGCCGCGTTCGTCTTGTTGGATGGGAGGGTGAGGGTTGTCTTCTTTAGTTTTCACATCCACTTTTGAACGGCTCCCCCTCAAAGCATCCAAAGATCGATTCTCGCATCTCACATTAGAACGAACACCAATTTGTGTATAGACACCGTGTATGAACGACTCAAAGGATTGCCTAGCTCCACTATTCTCTGAAACAGAATCAGTGAGGTTACTTTGTCTTAACTGAACTTGTTTTCCTTTGGAAACAAACCAAAGATTGACGTCAGCCTCGTCCACTACCTGAAAGATAATGTCTGATGGAACGTTTTTTAAATCTGCTAAATCTTCATCGCTTCCCTTGTGCTGCCCTGTTCTACCACAAAAACTGGATTCCATGAGGTCGGTCAGAGCTTGAGCTCGTCCTTTCTCAGCAGCAAATAAGGCCTCATCTATATTACCTTGTTTTACGAGAACGCTACACAAACCCGAATACACATTTTGGTGCTTATTTCGAAAATTAACTTTCCACTTATCTTTAGACTTAAGAAGTACTCTCAATGAATTGTATAACTTTACGCTCGCTCGGAAATGTTCAACGGCTTTTGGCAGTCCACCCTGCGCCTCAAAAACACATCCTAAAAGATAGTAGGCGAGGGCCTCTAAGGATTGGTCTTCGACCTCTTTGGCAATTTTGAGCAATAGGCAGTATAACTCGTTGGCCTTTTCCAAATCTCCCAGACATCGATAAGCATTGCCAAGATTGCCATAACTTTTACCCTCCCCATGCTTGTCTCCTATTTCTTTAACTATTTTAAGATCTAAGTTGTGGTACTCTATTTTTTTTTGAATTCACCCAAACCGTGATAAGCATTGCCAAGATTGCCATAAGTATTACCCTCCGCATGCTTGTCTCCTACTTGTTGAGCTATTTTTAAGATGTAGGTTGTGGTACTCTATGGCGTTTTGTAATTCACCCTGACTTTGATAAGCATTGCCAAGATTACCATAAGCGTGACCCTCCCCATGCTTGTCTCCTACTTCTTTAGCTATTTTAAGATCTAGGTTGTGGTACTCTATGGCTCTATTGAAATCACCCAGACTTTCATAAGCATTGCCAAGATTGCCATAAGCACCACCCTCCCCATGCTTGTCTCCTACTTCTTTACCTATTTTAAGACATAGGTTGTGGTACTCTATGGCTGTACTGAAATCACCCAGACTTTGATAAGCATTGCCAAGATTGCCATAAGCCTTACCCTCCCCATGCTTGTCTCCTACTTCTTTAGCTATTTTAAGATGTCGGTTGTGGTACTCTATGGCTTTTTTAAAATCTCCCATACCGTCATAAGCATTGCCAAGATTGCCATAAGCGCAACCTTCCCCATGTTTGTCTCCTACTTCTTTAGCTATTTTAAGATCTAAGTTGTGGTACTCTATGGCTTTTTTAAAATCTCCCAGACCTTTATAAGCATTGCCAAGATTTCCATAAGCGTTACCCTCCCATGCTTATCTCCTACTTCTTTAGCTTTTTTAAGATGTAGGTTGTGGTACTTATGGCTTTTTTTTTAAATCTCCCAGACCTTTATAAGCATTGCCAAGATTGCCAAAAGCGGCACCCTCTCCATGCTTGTCTCCTAGTTCTTTTTTTTTTTTTAAGATGTAGGTTGTGGCACTCTACGGATTTTTAAAATCACCCGTTTCGTGATAAGCAATTCCAAGATTGCTTAAAGCAACACCCTCCCACGCTTGTCTCCTTTATCTTTCGCTATTTTAAGATGTAGGTTGTGGCACTCAATGGCTTTTTTTGTAATCACCCAGACTGTCATAAGCAATGCCAAGATTGCCAAAAGCACAACCCTCCTCATACTTGTCTCCTCCTTCTTTAGCTATTTTAAGATCTTTGTTGTAGCACTCTATTGCTTTTTTGAGATCACCCTGTCTCAGATATAAATCGCCAAGATTGTCATAATAGTTACCCTTCCTATGCTTGTCTCCCTGATTATTGAAGTCTATGACTTTCTTGACATCACCTGAACTTGCACTACCATGGTCATGACTAATAGGATCTTTTTCCTCCATGGACTTATCTCCCCTTCACTGACAGACTGAAGTCTTAATGACAACAAGATCCTATTGTTTTTGTCAATCTTTTTATGTTAAGGTTTAAAATGTGCAAAGAGAAAAAAAGATGAGTTTTCTAATCACATTAATTTGGACGGTATATAATAGTCCATTTTACAGTTGTGTGCTTGATTGCCAAGCCTTTGAACAGGAGTGTGGCTAAGGTGACCTTGTTATAACGCAAATATTACAGCTGCTTTTCAAATGCAAATTACACTGTTGTAATGATCACTGGAGACTGGTCTCTATCACAACATTGTTGCTTCAGCCTCACTCCAAATCAAAGGCTTGGCAACTAGCTAAGTATTCAACTGTAAATTGGCCTATTAGGAGGACTTGTATGAAAGGTAGATGTTTAATCAACATTCAGTCTTAAAAAGTCAGTTATGAAGTAAATCTACATATCCCAAAAAGTTAACATGAAATATCTAGATGTAATCCCTTGTTTCCAAAATCTTGGAAGCACTTGCTCAATTTTGAAATTAATATAGCTTTAACATCAGACGAATATTTTACAGCAGTGGAAGAAATTTGTCTACAATATGAATACGTGCTTTTTAAAAGTTGCATTTATCCACAAGAAAACTTGACGAAAGTTTTCGAGTCTCTGAGTAGTGGGAAAAATATAGAGGGATTGAGGAAAATCAGCATAATATATATAAAAATTACCAAATTTCTTTGTTAGCCTCGTTTCAGAGAGATCATTTACCCACGGACCATTTACAAACTGGGTGAATATTGGTCTTTTAACTAAACTAGTGTTATGACATGGATAATATGACTAAGTCAAATTGGCTGAAAGGAGTAATATCACTAATAAGTCATGAGGTTAAATGAATTTTCCCACGTTTTTTAATCACAAACACTTAAAGTATGAGCTGACAAGTTCCCATCATAATTAATATCCTTCTATGTATTTTCTCCCTTAAAATGTCAAATTAAGTAATATTGCCATTATACCCATGGTTAAAAATGAAAGATTCCTTCAAAGGATACAGCTAGTCCCTTATCACGCCAAGTGATTGCTACTTCAAATTTCTTCAGTTTAACACAGGAAGTGGCTCCTGTAGGCAACAACACAGAGAACCATATATTAATCACTGTAGCTCAATTCCAAGAAGAGAACTAGAAAACATTTAAAGCTAAATATTTACAGACCAAAAAAAAAACCAAAAAAAACCAAAACAAAAAAAACAAAAAGAAAACTAAATAAAAGGAAAAGAATAAACAGGCCCTAATAGCTTTCAGTTAGATTAACTTTTGATAACTGAAACTTCTAAGAACATTTAAATTGGGACTGATAATTCCCACAAAATCACTAGAAGATATAGATAGAATATAAGACATGCAATGTGAAAACGGAAAAATAAAACCCACCTTTTCAAATTTTTATAATGGTACATTTTTCAATTAACCTTTTTAAAACTAGGTTAAATTTCAACTTCAATCAAAGTAAAAATTTAAACATTTTATTTAATATTAATACTAGTTTTCTTTTGGTTTTAGTTAACATATTTGTTTTACTCAATCAGTTGATAATTGCTTGATAAGAAGTGACTCAAACTAAGGTTTAAAGTTCACATAGAATAAGATTTACTCATACTGTCTGTAGTTACATCATTATTACATGTTTTATGGCACTTGAAATTAAGTTATAGTTGACGAATGAGGAAATTTTCTCAACAGTTTTGAGTTAATTTAAGTCCTTACTTCTTTCCAGAACAGCTGGATAGTGACTAAACATATCTGACACTACTACCTAACTCGATGAGCTTAAGGAAACTGAAATACTTATGCTGAAATGTTGCTGTGTATTCAGCATTGAGTTCTTCATCCAACTCAAAATAATAATCTCATCATAATGGAGAATCACAGCACAGCAGTCTAGAGCTGGATTCAAATGTACATCAGGGTGGTCTTGACCTCTAAATTAAAGTCAATTGAGACAAGATTTAACTTATCTATCCTAATTAGAGTGATGAATTCCTTTTTTATCATTATTATAACACAGCTAACATAATGATCTAACCTCTCACAATTGCCTCAAGGAATGTTGGATTTAACTCAATGGCTGCTTCTGCATCCCTTAGTGAATCCTGGTTATTTCCTGTAATTAATAAAAAATAAATATCTCTGATTAGCTGTACATATAGCAAACCCACCACTTTTATATTAAGTTTAGGAAAAACTTGTGATGCTCACTGATATCTGGGGTAAGAGTTAGGTTACTTCTTTGTAGGTTTGAGAGGCCCAGATAAGGCCTACATTCAAGATTATCACCTTTTTCAGAAAACTACTACTGACAACCCTTAGCTTCAAAAGGGAAAAAAATGCATATTTTTCATCAACTTATCAAGTTTAGAATGTGCAATAGCCCTGTTGTTGTACAGTTTGGCCTTCAGTTCTTTCTCATTGCAGTTTGTTTTAATTCCTTTGGTGTAAAAATGAATAGCATTGATGAAATCTCCTTTCTCTAAGGCCTCATCACCCTTATTACTATAAACATCAGCTGTGGCTGCAAAGAATAAATAAAAAAATTAATTTGTGTCATAGTTGCTGCGTAATTAATTAGTGTATAAGGAGAGCTGCCAAGATCTGGAGATTTAAAGTCTGGAGATTTTTCCTTTTGTGCAAGCTGCCATTTTTGCACCTGCCTGACTTGAGCCATAAACCTTAGATGGTGTCTGCAGACCCCCCCTCCCCTCCCCCCTCACAAGACAAACCCCACTCTGCTCCTCTATGAGAGACCTTTTTTGGTTGAAAGCTCAACCAATCACACTCAGTTGCTGTTGTGGTTGTGGTTTTGAAAGGGTAATCCCTACTTTGAAACAATCTAAGTGCAATCAAGAAAATTAAGATAAGAACCCTAAGATAGCCATAATAACATTGGATATGGGAAATTTGGAGTTCAAATGTTGTTTCTGTGAGGAACTGACCCAAATCCTCACTGATCTTGAAGAATTGATGACCCATATGGGATACCCAGAGTCTCATCCTGTGTTTGTGAGACTCCCTGATAATCAGGGAGAGTCAGCATAATTATAAGTGTAAAAGAGTCTACTGCTTTAATCACTTTTGGATAGTTAATGAGTCAATAAGATCTAAATGTTGCAATTGTAAAAACCAGACATAATATTACAAATAGACAAATAGTTATTATATAAATGATAGGAATACTGATCAAGAAGATGAGATTTAAATAGCTATGATAATGCAAATAATGTGAGTGACACCACACAGTGCTAATTATAGCAATGAAAATTATGCATCACTCAATTTGAAGCAAACCACTAGGCATTTAAACTTTTGGAGACCAGCATCCTAAAATTCCTATCCCCCTAGGTAAAATATGCGTTCAAATGCCCCACATTAAGTTCCTATGCAAAAAGAAAAATAATTAGCAACCTGCCCCTCCCCCCCTTTTGGCTTGATGAGAAGGGTGGGGATGTTGAAGCTTTTAAATTGATTGTTGCATTATAATGGGAAGATTATGATGATGATGATGGCATTCTATATAATGATGCAAACTTATAATTCAGATCTTACATTATAATGATCAAATAGTCTTTATAACTTTGTGTAGTTGCTTTGAACTGTTGTAATAATAGACTGCCCAAATATTCTTTAAAGTGGTCATAGAGTGTATCCATCCTTCTCCATATCTGCTCAGTTACATTCTTGAAAATGGTGGAATAGAAGAAGTTCTAACAATAACTCAAGCTGAAGCTCAACACAGCTCACCTTGCAAAGTGTCCTCATCAAAATCTGGTGCATTTTCTTTTTCAGGTAAGTCTTCATTTTCACATGGAACTTTTATTGGACTTCTTTCTGTAGCCATAGCAACTGTAAGAAGACTGATGCTTCTTACAAAGGTGCTGTCTTAAGTTATCCGGGCCTGAGAAAAAGATGGTTTCGAATAGTAATAAACATCAGCACAACATACTACCCAAAATAAGTATTTTTTCCCCTCTGACAATGGGAGGGATACCAAGGCACAAAATCACAAGCAATTAATATTAATGGAATATTAAAAGCAACAAAAGAACAAAAGATTAAAAAAGAAGAACAAAAGAAGAAAACAAGCATTTCACTTACTGTTCATTTTTAAATGAACAGTATTATTCACTTCACATTGTAATAAATTTCAATAATTTATAAAATACATTTCCAATTAATTGAGATAAATTGAGCAAAACTCAACATCTTTGTGTAGCACATTCATACAGCAGCAATTTAAATCATTTCAACTAAGAGACTGTGGGTAGTTATGGAAAGTCTGAGCTTATAATACTGCTTTCCTCACATGAAGTGACTGGGAGAGACTACCCACCCCCTGGATGACTGGATGAGATGCCCCCCCGACATTTTACCAGGCTGCCCTGACCGAAAAAATATCACTAAAGTGTGCTGATGTATGTTAAAATGGATTTCAATACCGTACAGGTGCTGACGTTTGTGGTTTAAAAGTGTATGTACCGGTATATAACAAATAATTATAATCTCATGTTTCTATTGTTTTGTGCACAAAATTGATGTCTTTGATGCTGACTTAAATTCTCCTGATAATCAAGATCGTGGCAATATAGAAATGATCGATTGCTAATTCTCCCAGTACGGCTCAGGAAAGCGAGGTAATAGTCACACACTGTTAATTGGACTAAACTAATGTATATTGAATCTTAAGGCCTCCAAGTAAAAGAGAATATGCTTTATGATTGTCTGTATGGTGTATTTGTGATCACGCCTTTACCTTAAAAGGGGTCTAAAATAATAATGAAAAAACAAAATACATATTCAATTTGGTGATTGGCGCTGATTGAAGTACTTTCAATTTCGTAAATTAAGTGAAAGTGCTTTGCTCATCAATAAACACAAAATTAAAGATGTCCCTTGAACTTTCCTTGAAACACTTCTGAATCATTCATTTTTTCTGTGATAAATATCAGTTTATTATTCCTGTGCCTTTTAGAAGAATTCGTCAACTGTGAGTGTAAATTTTAAGCTCTGATTAATAAATACTGAATAACTTGTTGCGCAAGTTCACCCCAGTGCCAGATTCAAGTAAAAGTTAGAAATCCTCAGCAGTTGTAATTTGCCTTTATGGCCAGAAATCAAAGACAATTAGCGTAAGTCAAAGAAAGACTTGGAGGAGAAAGCAACTACTGAGATACTCACAAAGGAATATTTACTAAGTCTACAAAAACCTCACACAAACCTGTGAAACTTCTCACCTCTGTTGTGGGAACGGAAGCGATATTCGGCCTTTTTAAGACCTTGTCACCTCAGTTCGATACGGAAAGCTTTCAAAGAAACTCGCTTGAATTAATAAGGTCCTATAAAAACACGAGAAATTCGTTTTGGAATAAAAATCTCGATACCACCACCTGTTCAGTGCTGTTGTGAATTAAAAGGATATTTATGCTTCGATTAGCTATTAGCCTTTAGTGAAGGTGACGTATGACGTATGAAGTCTGTCGATTTTATAAGCCAATCGCAGCGATCGGCGAAAATCCCCAGGTGTGTCCGGTGCGGCGATTTCGATTTTCATCGATCGCCGCGATCGGCGTATAAAATGGCCGATATCTGACCTGCCAGATCAAATTTGGCGATTAAATTTGCCACGATCAGCGAGTATAATCGCCAGGTGTGCTCGTAGCTTGAGTACGAGCTTTATAAGCTCGCGATCGTTTATAAGACCGGCCATGTTCGATTTGAGGTTGAGCTTTTGTGTTTATTGGTGAGCGAAGCACTTTCACTTTATTTACGAAATTGAAAGTGCTTCGATCAGCGCTAATCACCAAATTGAATATGTATTTTGTTTTGTTATTATTATGTTAGACCCCTTTTAAAGTAAAGGCGTGATCACAAATACACCATACAGACAATCATAAAGCATATTCTCTTTTACTTGGAGGCCTTAAGATTCAAAATACATTAGTTTAGTCCAATTAACAGTGTGTGACTATTACCTCGCTTTCTTGAGCCGTACTGGGAGAATTAGCAATCGATCATTTCTATATTGCCACGATCTTGATTATCAGGAGAATTTAATTCAGCATCAAAGACATTATCAATTTTGTGCACAAAACAATAGAAACATGAAACGATTAAAATAACTATTTGTTACCCCCCTTGTTGATTTGTGTACTATGTTTGAACGGAATTTGATCATATGAATTAACGTTTAAGCGTTTGACGAAAATGAAATACCGCATGTATAAATCAATTGATTGAACAACTTGTCAATTGAGTCGTTGCCTGAATCACTGCAAATAGTGAAACTGTCGATATACTTCTCTTCATTTCTATTTACGGCGAAACTATACATATTATTCATTGATTTATGATATGATTAAGTGAAATATTCAAAGTACAGATCCTTATTGTTAATCAGTTCAGGTTAAGTTAGGAGCAATTCATGGTTTCATCGCTAAAGTTCTGACTCGCTCCTGCAAAGATTGATCACATTCATCCGGCACCCTTAAGAGTAATAAACGATGACTCACGTCCTGATGATTGACACGAATAGTCATGGCGCCTCTTTGAGTTAGGCGCTTTTCAAGTTGAAAGCCGTTCACTGCAACGATTGTGCACAATAAACATGTGCATCGCGCAAAAACCTTTAAATCAACTTTAACTTTATTATTTTAAACACTGAATTAGTTGCGTTTGAACATTTACATAACAAAGAGAGAAAGCAAATAAAAATACAACGAGTCTCAGTAATAAAAAAAAATGGAATAAGATTATCAGGATTGAAACCCATTTATTTGTTTGAGGGAAACATAAAAGGATTAACTAACAATTGCGCTTGAGACACGAAAACACGAACATTGTGCCATGTGCATTTCTGACTAGACAAGGAACAGGCCATTTACAATTCGTTAAAGCCATTTTCTCTGTCGTTCGCATAGAAAGAAAGAAATAAAATTACCCAAAGTGCATTTTGATTGAGTGTCTTGAAACCAAAGCCGAAGTTATAACATCGGCCAATCAGAGGAGAGGAAATCTTGTCAAAGAACCGGTGTGAATTCAAAGTAAAAACAAGAAAACTGCAAAAATCGCGGGAACGCGCGAGGGTAAAAGTCGCGATTGAGTTTAGCGTTGTATCTGATTGGTTGCGAAAGGAGCGGGAGTTTTCTGGACCAATCACAGAGCGTGGCGAAGCAAATCTCGGATTATTTTCGACACTCAATCAAAAATTGCGCCAAATGGGATGAGAGGCCGTCTTTCGTCTTTGATAAGAACATTCAGCTGTCATTGCACTTGCAAGTGTGTTTGAGAAAATTCAAAAGGCTGAATTGAAATCAAAAATGAAATTTTTTTTCTCACCTTGATATTACTCCAATGTTGTTTTTTTAAACGAAAATCGTCAGTATCTACAGTTTTGGTGAAACTTTTGCAAGGTTCCGCTTAGGATGATGCTTATGACCGTAAGTACTACGTTAGCAATGACCGAAAAATCAGAATAACCAGTAATCGTCCGTTCTACCTTTGCGGCTGACACCAGTTATTGCCAAGATTTTTGTTACAAAATTCGTCCCTGTTTCATGAATCTCATTTCAGTTGCTGACGCATATATTGACAAATGAGAAATTTAAAGGACTAAAATAGCGTCCACGTTAATAATTTGTAGTTCAGTGAGCTGAGCCTAAAGGAAATCAATTTTGATTTCAATGCGTTTTTCCGCCTTTAAGCAAATTGATGATAGTGAAATATTCCATGCATAACATATGAATAACATTACATGTACTACTTAAGGATTATCTAATAGTTACCTTGTGGTTGTCTTGATTAAATAATTTTAAACCCTTTAACCCCCAGAAGTGATTAACATGTAACTTCTCCCTATCATAACCATACAGTATTTAGCAAACAGGTAATGAGAATACTCAATCTTATCAGGTAGAAGTTGTTATCAGGATCTAACACCAGATTCTCGTAACCAATTTACAAGGAAATGTGTAGCAGCGAGAGAGGAGAATTAACAATCAGATCTTGGGAGTTAAAAGGTTTGATTCTTTTGGAGTAATAGAATTATTATTGGCTCTTCGGATTAGATAAAGATACTCTACTAGATTAAATTATTTTGCAAAGAATCCTTTGACGGTGGTATATTTGCGTTGATAACGAAAATCTGAAAAGGAGAGGCGAACATTAATTAATATGACGTGAGCCATAAAAAATGTCTAATGAAGACGTACATCGATCAACTAAAAAGTCTTCTTTGGCGCTCCTTCCCTAGTTCCTTGAAAAGAGTATGCGTAGCCTCCATGCTAAAGCTTTAAACTGCTTTCTCCTATGAAGGAGACTGTCAGTGTAGCTCAGTTTAATGAACAATAGCTTTGTAAAATTAGCTTAAACCATTTGCGCTCGTTTTCCACTCACTTAGAATTAGAAATGTGAATTCAAAATCTCTGCGTCCATGGAACACAGCCTGGTTTCTTGTCGCCTGGTTTCTTGTTCCTGTTCACCTTCCTCGAGTGTAACATCAACGACGCTACTGTCCTTTATCGCACCTATAAGAGTAGGCATCTCCTCTTGCCCTGTTTGCAGCTGATTATCAAGGACATTCGTCTCAACCATACCAGTCACTTCTGCCTGCAGGCCATTGAGGGGGAGAAGCAGGGCTAGGAGGTAGGAGAGGGACCACTGTGGATTTTGTAGCCATTATAGAATGGATAAATTCGCCTGAATTCGTGCGCTAAGGGATTTCGGAATAACTAAAGAAAAATAATTTTTCCGAGCCAATATAATGATTCACACGTTTTCACCGGATGCCACATGAGGGCAGATCGAGCCAGCTGTAATCTACGTTTTACATTTGCACGAAATTTGAATAATAAATTATGAAAGTACCGCATAAATATTAGAAAATTAGTGGTTTGAAGAACGAAGGAAAGTTCACGAAATAAATTCTTCCAATTACACAAGTAGGGCGAAAAACTTCCCATTGTTTACACTTATAGCACTTTAATTGTGCTTGAAAATTAGCGGTTTCCCATCAATATCGCTGATAGATATTGCTACGACATCTGCAATTAAAAGAGTACTAATACTCCCAAAATACCTCATAATCACATGCCATATGTCCCAAGGGAGACTGTTCTGCGATAGTTTTAGGCTCGAGACATGTCAGGGGAAGAACTCAGGAGCTTAATTGGTAGTACGAAGACACAATTACCACACTCAGAATGCAAATTAATGCTGAAGTGTTAACTCGTCGCTAGTATGTTCTTGTCGGGAAAAATGCCAAACAATTTTCACTCATGCACGAATTACTCATTTTAGTATTAAGGCTTTTAGTCAAGACAGGGTATATCTGCTCTTTCTCGACCAAATGACAGTTTTTTACAAGCAGCAAACAAGTCAAGATATTGGTCGATATATACATATATACATGTATACATGTATCGAGACATACGTTTTGCTCAGATGATGTCTGAGTTTCTACGGATCATCCATCAGCACAGCGTATGACAACTTTCTCAAGGGAAAGCAGCTGGATTCATAAATTTATTCAGCTAGTGTCTACACATCTTCATCTAAGGTTTAACAATCAAACTGCAAATGCCATGGGTTGTTTTGCATCGCGTAATAACAGAATTGAAATTGTAGTCTCAGTTGCTGAGGCAACATCGACTTCGAGAATCAGAGACATTCCGCTATCACACGAACAAAAATGCATTTTAAGAGAATTTTGGCAGCTCATTGAGCCCATTAAGAGCGTCATAGGAAAGAAAGTGTTTGGACGGTAAGTGTTTTAAATACTCGCTATCTCTGGTTTGTTGTGTTTCATTTCCTAAAAAAAGAAGACTGTAGAGTCTCGAGTTGACAGTAGCTTTTTTATGAAAATATCATACCACTATTAGGATTGGAATCGTTTAAAATGGAGAAAAAGAGGAAACAGTATGCTGATCCTTATTGGATGTCATGCTACACGTGAAAGTTGCTAACTTAAACATGCTGAATCCAGTGGTACAATTCCTTGGTATATAGGAAGGTCTTAGCGCGATTATTCTTAATGACTTCCATGTTTTTTTATTCTTCGTTCCTCATTTGTTACCAATAGATTTTACCTCTATTTTTCGTTGCATGATGATCGAAACCTCAATTTCGATGGATGATATCCTAAATAATTCATTTGAAGTGTCAGTAAACACTAAAAATTTGTTGTTCAGTCGGTGATGACCATGGTATCGATAAAACACAGCGTTGAAGATTTTGTTCGAACTAGGAAGTTAATGTACATCATTTTCTATTTTCAAATTTAAGTTATATTTGAATAACATGTGATTTTCTTTTTTTCTTCACGCGACCCCACAAGCTTGTATTTCCAACAGCCGAAATGCGTGCACCTTTCAAACTCAATTTGTTTTTTTATAACATTTAAAGACGTTCACCAAAAATAGATTTATATTTCAAGTGTGTTTTTTTTTATTTTTCATGTCAATAAGTCGCCATTGTGTCTTTGGAACCCATATTGTTTTGCAGAAAAAATTCGTTCCCAACTGCAACATTCAAGCATTTATATAAATCATTTGAAAAATGAGAAGGAAAAAGGAGCATTTCCTGGGGAACTAAGAACAATTATTTACAAGTTTACGGATAGGATCGGTAGCTGTTTATAATTGCTGACATATTTTTCACTGCCTAAATCATCTATGAGCTGATCAGGTTCAGAATAATTTTCACATTTGTGAGAAAGAGGGTTAGTCATCGCGTAGATAGAAATGAGTTTTCCAAATGCAAAAAACCTAAAATATAACAGGCAAACTTTCGCAACTGCTACCGATGTTTATGAATTGTTGAGGACCATTGCTGTCTAGAGAATTTGCAGACTTATCATAACGTGTTTAATGTCCTTCAAAAGGTGCCACCTGTCGTTTGTGTATTTCCTGTTGTATAAAGAGTTAAGCTACGACTTAGCTAGAGCAATACTTGAACAAGTCGCTAGGAACCGAGCCCCGGTTTCAAAGAAGAACCCGAGAAATGGAAACAATCAACAATTAAGTAGACTGTGAAAACGTTTTCTCGAGCCTTTCCGTGCGCAAACGCGAAAGTACCAGCGCTGCTGCGTGTTTTGCTAGTTTTCTTACCAATCGGGTCATTATTTTGCGCAAATTGACTTTCAAATGCAAACCCATGCGCACTACCTTCGTGATAGCATAGCTCTATTGAGGATGTGAATGGAGATTCATAACTGAGAAGCTGTGGCTTGTTGTGAGTATTTCTCAGTGTCTTGATTTTTTTGCATAACTTGCAAAATAGGAGTAAAGTTTATATCTAAAGTAAACGTAAGTCGAATTTCCATTATTCAGAGTTAATAATGATGTCCGTGAATGATTTTGTTTCAGACTTTTTGAGTCCAACCCAAGAATTCAAGACATATTTCCCGCCTTTAAGAGTTTGAAACTTGAAGCCGTAATCAACTCTCGATCTCTGTATCTTCACGTCAGACAAGTCATGACTGCGCTGGAAAATGCTATTTTTTCTTTAAACGACGCAGAGGTTTTCATCGAGTATTTAATGAATCTTGGAGAAAGACATAAAGCATGGCCCGTGAGGCTGGAACATTTCGATGTATGTATCCTATTATGCCAATCAATGTTACCTTGAGGTACATATTGTCGTATATTGCTGTATTGTGATGTAAACTGCAGTAGCGGGAATTATAGTGCTATCTAGGGGCACATATTGTTGTGTAGCGCTATACTGTATTATAAACTGCAGTAGCGGGAAATATAGTGCTATCTAAGGGTACATATTGTTGATTAGGATGTATCAAATATTTTTGCTTGCGCGCAATTGTTTTAAACGTAGATGAATATCCCTCAACTAAAACTAAGGGATATTCAGTCACGATATTCCCCAATTTGCAAACCTTACGTCCACCACGATAGGTCTTCGTTTCAAACTCAATTCAATTTAGTAAGCTGTTCATAGAGAATTGTTCACGAAAAGCGCTGCATAGTTATAAAAACTGCATTATACGGATGTACAATGTATCAAAGAACGTTTAGCGTGGTATGGTGCTGTGTATAGATTTAAACTGCATTTTACGGATTTAAAGTGCTACTCAGGGGTACAATAATGTATTTTGCTGTATAATGATAAATGTTGAAGTAAAGGATGCATAATGCCATTGAAGGGAGGGGGGAGAGGGGCATATAGGCGCGCGTATTCGAGGAGTTTATTCTACGATGTAAGGGGACATAGAGTCCAATAATCGACGGAACGTGTTTGCTCATAATGAATCTCTCTAGTTGTTATCGACTGCCTCTATGGAAGTAGCATAGTAAGTTATTCTTTGTTACTTATTGTTTTATCAAAACTCTTTCCTAGGGTCTTCTCTGTATCTACATCCAAGATGACGGGTACTAACTATGTGGAGTCTGTGGATTGGTCTGCCGTCATCTTGGATTCGCGATGTAGGTGGACCCCAGGTGAGAGTTTTAATTTGGACATTAAAGGATTCGTTTCCAACAAAATGCACCGATTATGTCGCCGAGACTTGGAGGGAGCTCTTTCGCTTTATAAGCGCTACAATGATGAGAGGACTGAGGAGAGCAAACACTGGCAAATGAGACTTTAAAGTGAGAGAACCTGTGGACTAGGAATCAATCGAAAGGAAAACTGAGATTTTACTAGAGATGACGTTAAGAGGACACCATCCTTAAGTGGACAAAATAAGCAAGATAACTAATACTAATTCATTTGAACTGTCAGTAAACACTAAAATTTGTTTTTTAGTCGGTAGTGACCATAGTATCGATAAAAACACAGCGTTAGAGATTTTTTTTATGTAGAAGTTATATTATATAGAAATTCCCTTTTTAAATTCAAGTTATATTAAGATGGCATGTAATTTTCATTTTTTCTTCACACGACCCCACAAGCTTGTAGCTTAAAATATTATTTTGTATAAAGAAAGATCATCTATTTATCTATCTATCTAGAGATAGATATCCCTTTGAGAAGCGTTGAAAAATCTATTGTTGTCTAAATTGTTCCACTGAAGTAGAGCAATAAATTCAACTATGTCCACCAGCCGAAACGCGTCCACCTTTGAAACTCAATTTGTTTGTTTTTTAGGACTTTTAAAGACGTTCGCCAAAAATAGATCTATATTTCAAGTGTGTTTTTTACTCATTATGTCAATAGGTCACCATTGTGTCTTTTAAGCCCAAATCCTTTGCAGGAAAAATTCTTCCCCAGATGTAACATTCAAATATTTATATATCTCATTCGGAAAATGAAAAGGAAAAACGAGCATTTCCTTAAGAACTGAGAACAGTTAACGACAAGTTTACAAAAAGGGATCAGCAGCTGGTTATATCTGCTGACAAATTTTTTACTGTCTGATTCACCTCTGAACTGATCAGGTACAAATTGCCACATTTGTGAGAAAGAGGGTCAGTCATCATATAGATAGAAACGACTTTTCCAAATGCAAAAAACTCAAATATAACGCGTAAACTTTCGTAACTGCTACCCATGTTTATAAATCGTTCATGACTATTGTTGCCCAAAGAATTTGCAGACTTATCATAACTTGTTAATGTCCTTTAAAAGGTGCCACCTGTTGTTTGTCTATTTCCTATTGTATAAAGAGTTAAGTTACGTCTTAGCTAGAGCAGTACTTGAGTGAGTCGCTAAAAACAGAGCGCCGGTTTTAAAGAAGAACCCTACAAAATGGAAACAATCAACAATTAAGTAGACCGCGAAAAACGTTTTCTCAGGCCATTTCGTGCGTAAACGCGCACTGCCTTCGTGATAGCATAGTTCTACTGAGGATGAGGATGGAGATTCATAACTATGTGCTGTGTCTCGTTGTGGGTATTGCTCAGTGTCCATATTCCTTTGCATACATGGCAAAATGGGAGTAAAATCATGCATTATCTAAATTAACGTAATCGAATTTCTATTTTTCAAAGTTAATAATGATGTTCGTGAGTGATTTTGTTTTAGATTTTTTATGTCCAACCCAAGAATTCAAGACATATTTCCGGCCTTTAAGAGTTTGAAACTTGAAGCCGTAATTAACTCTCTATCTCTGTATCTTCACGTCAGACGAGTCATAACTACGCTGGAAAATGTGTTTTCTGAAAACGACGCAGGGGTTATCATCGAGTATTTAATGGACTTTGGAGAAAGACATGAACCATAGCCCGTGAGGCCAAAACATTTCGTTGTAGGTATTCTATTGTGCCGATCAAGGCTACTTAGAGGTACATAAAATGTTGTAAAGCGCTGTAGAGTGATGTAAACTGCAGAAGAGGGTAGTATAGTGCTATTAAGGGGTATATATTGTTGTGTAGCGCTGTATAGTGATGTAAACTGCAGAAGAGGGAAGTATACTGCTATCTAGGGGTGCATATTGTTGTTTATGATTCATCAAATATTTTTGATCGCGCGAGATTGGTCTTAACGTAGCAAGTGACTGAATATCCCCCAGCTAAAGCTGGGTGATACCCGAGAATATCACCTAAGCGATATTCCCCAATTTGCAAACCTTACGTCCACCTCGAAAAGTCATCGTATCAAACTTTATTCAGTTCAGTAAGCTGTTCATAAAAATTTTTTCACGAGCGTTGCAAAATGTTTGAAGGATAAGAAACGCAATAGTCTCTATCTCGCGCGAAAACATGTACGGACTAAGATCCGCACTTGTTTTTGGGCCAAATTGGAGAAATTGTTTATAAAGCGCTGTATGGTGATGTAAAATTCAGTAGAGGGAAGCATAGCGCTAACTGGGGGTACATATCGTTGTGAAGCGCTGCATTTACGGTGCTACTCAGGGTTATAATGTTATACTGTGCTGTAGAATGATAAAATTTGAAGTAGAGGGATGTAAAATGCTAATGAAGGGAGGGGGGAGAGGGGCATATAGGCGTGCGTATTCGAGGAGTTTTTTCTACGATGTAAGGAGACATGGAGTCCAATAATCGACGGAACATTTTGCTTATAATGAATCTCCCAGGCTGTTATCGGCTACCTCATAGGAAGTTTCATAGTAAGTTATCTTTTCCTAATTATTGTTTTGTCAAAACTCTTTCCCAGGGTCTTCTCTGCGTCTACATCCAAGATGACGGCTACCGACTCTGTGGGGTCTGTGGATTGGTCTGCCTCCATCTTGGATTCAGTGGACCCTGGGCGAGAGTTTGACCCATTCTCAATCAGATGATAGAAGAGGTCTTAACTTGGACATTGAAGGACTCGTTTCCAACAAAATGCACTAATTATGTCGCCGAGACTTAGAGGAAGCTGTTCCGCTTTATAATTGCAACTGTGATGAGAGGACTGAGGAGAGCAAACACTGGCACGTGAGACTTAAAAGTGAGAGACCCTGTGGACTGGGAATCAGTCGAAAGGAAAACTGAGATTTTACCAGAGATGACGTTAAGAGGACACCCTCCTAAAGTGGACAAAATAAGCATGATAACAACTACCCTGGGGGAGTAAGGAGGTACACTCGATTGCAAAAACGTTGACACGCAACAAGCGTTTATAATGAACGATGAGACTCAGCAAAGAGCTATCCAAACTTTCCCGGAAGAAAATGTTTTATCATGAGAAAAGATTTTCCATGAATAATGAGAGAAGTAAATCACTGATTGTGTATCTGTGCGAACATTTCCCATAAAGGTGACGGGTCTTGTCGTTCGTGAATCAAGCTTATTAGGTGTCAACGTTTTTGCAATCGAGTGTATGTGAGTCGTAAGAAGCCTGGGGTTGCGCAAGGATTAAGACGAATGAAAACTGAAAGAGACAGGCGGATAGTCGCATATATTGAAGCGCACGGAAGAAAAATGTTGAGGGCGATGACCAAAGTGCGCGTAAAGATAGGATAAAGAGAAAGTGCTATGAAAAAAGGAAAGAATGAAAAAAAGGAAGCAGAAAAAAGGGAAGCACAAATGTGAAAAGGTGCAAAAACTTGTGTGAGGAAAAAGGTGCACACATGTAACAGCATAAACAAGTCTGTCGGCGTTCAAATCCGTGTGAGAATATGGAGAACGATAGACAGTGGAAGAGATACAATTGAAGAATCGACGCGCGTTTGTTATCTAAGGGTTTACGTGAGATGCAGAGAGAACAGATCCTATATGAACTTCAATGCTTGTTTTGACCGGCGCGCGCTAAGTTGATTATCTATGCAGCTGACAGTTTACTAACATTCCATTTTTCAAGCCTCCACCCACTTAACTTAGAATATGGAGACAGACAATAAAAGTCAACGCAGTTTTTGTATTTTTTACACTATATATTTCTCCTACACAAAAAAGGAAAAAAATAAGTACACTAGCAACTGCATTAAATCGTTCAAGGCATTAAGTAAAATACGCGCTAAACGGAGACACTTAAATTAACCCATTTACTCCCAAGACTGATCATAATTTAAATTCTCCTCACGAAATTAATACACCGACAGACATGGTGTCAATAACAATTAGAGAAAATCTAAACTGGAGGATAATTTTATGCTAAAAACGTGATGTTACATCGAATTCCTGGAATGAAGCAACAAAGAAACACATTCTTATCAGTTGGGAGAATTTTTCTTTTGAACTTGGGAGTTCACGAGTTAATTAATATGCACTAAGGTAAATGAACAATTACCTTCAACTGTAAATAAAAATAGCATTAAAACACTTCACACGAAATAGACTGACATTATACAAAGCATATTTAATTGAGAATGTCCCAGCTTGTTTTTAAAATCCTACGTTATATCACATTCAACCATGTGCGAGGTCAATTGCTACATTTTATACCAGCAGATACCAATGATAGTTGCGAAAATCTGCAAAATTAAGATTGGTTTTACAAAAGGTTCTCGTAAACCAGCTGTGATACAGTATATCTTTTTTTGACCACATAACGGGTTCTAATTACAAAGCGCGCTTTGAACAACTAACTATAAATTCTTAAATCTAAAAAGACATCAGACATCTTCATATTGTACTAAGGTAGATTTAAAGCAATGAAAAAAGTTTGAACGGGGAATTTTCAAAATTGAAAGTTTTCTTCTGAAGTCCTGAGCCTTTTCAAGCAAGGACTACAGTTACATTTATTCAGGAAACCTTTTCACCAAAATAATTCCTATTGAGGATTACATGGCTTACTTTAACTACTTCTTTAATTTATTGGCGTAAATATTTTCCTACTGGAAAGAACAAGTTCCATGTCACTTACATTAAAAGTCACAGCCATGGGAACTTCAGTTACAGTGAACTGTACGTCGCTGTTTCCCTCTTTAGATTACACGGACAATTTTTAACTCTCTGTCGTGGTTCTTTAAAACGAACAGATAAGTGTTTGATAAAAAGGACTAAAATTGAAAAAACAATTAAAAACAGGGTTTTAGCCAGTTTTCTGACTTGATGTAGGCCTGTTACCTAAGAAATTTCAACTTTTGTTTTAAGATTTGTAAGAGTTATATTATAAAAGTCAAGCGGGCTGAAAACAGTCGTAGGCCAGGCCTACGGGACTAGAGGCTGGCTTCACCCTTAAAAGTAAGTCTAACGTCTTTAACATATGGTCAGTAAATTCAATAACATCATCATCTCTGATGTTGACTTCTTCAAATTAAGCTTAGAATGGCAATCTTGGCACTGATAGAATTAGATTGCATTAAGATGGATTTTAAAATAATTTAAATAATCAATATTTTTGCAAAAATTATCGCAATTTGTAACAAAGTTATTTATAATATAGAAAAATCATCCAAGGTTAATATCACATAAGACTGCAAACTTTTCAATTCAAATCTTTGAAATTAAAATTTCGCCAACCTTTTGCAAATGACGCACTGTTTCTTTGCATATCAAAAGCTTAGAGTATAAACGCAGTGAAGACCCTGTGGACAAGCTCCTGGTTATGTACAAGAACAAACCTTTAAATTGTTTTCCATACAGCTGGTTGTAACACAGGAATAGAGCTAAGTGCCATTTTGGCGAACACGAAAACCTTGTAATCGCCTTCAACTATTGCAGTTATTCATAACAGAAGCCTTGTTACATTTCGTTCTCTTCGGAAGTATTTGAATTTGTAAAGGTAAGAAAAAAAGACAATTCCACTGATCAAACTATAATGACGTAGACTGTTCTTATTTCTTCACCACAGTAAAGTTACACATCTCAAGTTCTACAAAACGAAAAAGTAAAAAGTAATGAAAAATAGCCAAAAATTGCAATTTGACGTCAACATCCTGGACATCGGCCATGTGCTGTCGAAAAAGAACTAGTCTCCCTGTTTGTACTGGCATATTTTGCTCACCAAAATTTTTGAGTTGTAACTCGAAACAGTCAGTAAGTTCTATCGTATTTCGCTTGTATTGTAATTTTACTGGCTATAGGTGTAATTTCTGTTCGTAGAAAGCCTGCCTTATTGCCTAACTGGATGTTTACTCGGCTTGATTACTGGAACATTTGTGGGTTTTCATTGGAATACCTGTAGATGAATGGTTGAGTTTTCGCTTTCGAGGCTGCGTTATATCTATGAAGTCAAGAGTGATGTCATCTCCAATCAGCACAAAGGGCGCCCAGTATTTGATGTCGTGGAACTTCTTTGATTCTCTGAGGCTTTTCATGGTCAGGTTCAGTGACTCGCTTGCAGGTTTACCTTCTGCAAGGTGTTGATAAAAGCATTTCATGAACTCGAGAGTAGCCTCGTCATTAATCGCCCACAGAGACACCACAACAGACCGAGCACCAGCCCCCATAAAAGCGCGCGCAATCCCAACCACACCTTCAGCCTTGATCTCGCCCCGACCACTGTGACAGCAACTAAGTACAACAAGTTTGGCGCGAAGTTGAACATTCAACACATCTCCAATTGTTAAAATGTAATCCTCCTCTGTTGGCACAGTAGATATTCGGTCTGGGTCAGGTGTAAGAGCAATTTCGCCAGTTTCCATATATCCGTGTGCCGCAAAGTGAACTAAAGAAACGGAACTGATTCTTTTCAATACCTCACGTTTCGTAGCCTGTCTGCCAGTGATTGGCGTGATATTCAGAATATTTCCGATCATTTCTACTTCTTCTTTAGCACACGGAAGCCGCTTGAAGAGTTCCTCTCCCTCGCTGTTAGTAACCTCGGCTAAACACGGATCTCCTACAAGTAAGGCTCCACTGCTTTTGTGATAATCATCTGGGCAATTGGAAATGAGTCTAAGACTTGTTAACGATGGAGCGAGTCGGATTCTGAACGATTCACACAGGTATTTAGAATTACCATCCTTCAATGCAGCGTAAGGAGCGAGCCACAAGGATCCATCGGGAATAATGAGTAGCTCATCCCCTTTAACCAGGTCAGCCACCGGCTTCATGAGGGTATCATACAAAGTGCTTAAGCCGCGTTCGTCTTGTTGGATGGGCGGGTGAGGGTTGTCTTCTTTAGTTTTCACATCCACTTTTGAACGGCTCTCCCTCAAAGCATCCAAAGATCGATTCTCACATCTCACATTAAAAGGAACACGAATTTGTGTATAGACATCGTGTATGAACGACTCAAAGGATTCCCTAGCTCCACTATTCTCTGAAACAGAATCAGTGAGTTTACTTTGTCTTAACTGAACTTGTTTTTTTCCTTCGGTAACAAACCAAAGATTGACGTCAGCTTCGTCCACTACCTGAAAGATAATGTCTGATGGAACGTTTTTTAAATCTGCTAAATCTTCATCGCTTCCCTTGTGCTGCCCTGTTCTACCCCAAAAACTGGATTCCATGAGGTCGGTCAGAGCTTGAGCTCGTCCTTTCTCAGCAGCAAATAAGGCTTCATCTATATTACCTTGTTTTACGAGAACGCTACACAAACCCGAATACGCATTTTGATGCTGATTTCGAAAATTAACTTTCCACTCATCTTTAGACTTAAGAAGTTCTCTCAATGAATTGTATAAGTTTACGCTCGCTCGGAAATGTTTAACGGCTTTTGGCAGTCCACCCTGCGCCTCAAAAACACAACCTAAAGAATAGTAGGCGAGGGCCTCTAAGGATTGGTCTCCGACCTCTTCGGCAATTTTGAGCAATAGGCAGTATAACTCGTTGGCCTTTTCCAAATCTCCCAGACATCGATAAGCATTGCCAAGATTGCAATAACTTTTACCCTCCCCACGCTTGTCTCCTATTTCTTTAACCATGTTAAGATTTAAATTGTGGTACTCTATGGCTTTTTTGAATTCACCCAAACAGTGATAAACATTGCCAAGATTGCCATAAGTATTACCCTCCGCATGCTTGTCTCCTACTTGTTGAGCTATTTTAAGATGTAGGTTGTGGTACTCTATGGCTTTTTTTAATTCACCCTGACTTCGATAAGCATTGCCAAGATTACCATAAGCGTGACCCTCCCCATGCTTGTCTCCTACCTCTTTGGCTATTTTAAGAAGTTGGTTGTAGTACTCTATGGCTTTTTCGAAATCACCCAGTCTGTGATAAGCATTGCCAAGATTGCCATAAGCACCACCCTCCCCATGCTTGTCTCCTACTTCTTTACCTATTTTAAGACATAGGCTGTGGTACTCTATGGCTCTACTGAAATCACCCAGACTTTGATAAGCATTGCCAAGATTGCCATAAGCCTTACCCTCCCCATGCTTGTCTCCTACTTCTTTAGCTATTTTAAGATGTCGGTTGTGGTACTCTATGGCTTTTTTAAAATCTCCCACACCGTCATAAGCATTGCCAAGATTGCCATAAGCGCAACCTTCCCCATGTTTGTCTCCTACTTCTTTAGCTATTTTAAGATCTAAGTTGTGGTACTCTATGGCTTTTTTAAAATCTCCCTGACCTTGATAAGCATTGCCAAGATTGCCATAAGCTTTACCCTCCCCATGCTTATCTCCTACTTCTTTAGCTTTTTTAAGATGTAGGTTGTGGTACTTTATGGCTTTTTTTAAATCTCCCAGACCTTTATAAGCATTGCCAAGATTGCCAAAAGCGGCACCCTCTCCATGCTTGTTTCCTAGTTCTTTAGCTATTTTAAGATGTAGGTTGTGGCACTCTACGGATTTTTTAAGATCACCGGTTTCGTGATAAGCAATTCCAAGATTGCTTAAAGCAACACCCTCCCCACGCTTGTCTCCTATATCTTTCGCTATTTTAAGATGTAGGTTGTGGCACTCAATGGCTTTTTTGTAATCACCCAGACTGTCATAAGCAATGCCAAGATTGCCAAAAGCACTACCCTCCTCATGCTTGTCTCCTCCTTCTTTAGCTATTTTAAGATCTTGGTTGTAGCACTCTATTGCTTTTTTGAGATCACCCTGTCTCAGATACAAATCGCCAAGATTGCCATAATTGTTACCCTTCCCATGCTTGTCTCCCTGATTATAGAAGTCTATGACTTTCTTGACATCACCTGAACTTGCACTACCGTGGTCATGACTAATAGGATCTTTTTCCTCCATGGACTTATCTCCCACTTCTCTGACAGACTGAAGTCTTAATGACAACAAGATCCTATTGTTTTTGTCAATCTTTTTTATGTTAAGGTTTAAAAATGTGCAAAAACAAAAAAGATGAGTTTTCTAATCACATTCATTTGGACGGTATATAATAGTCCATTTTTACAGTTGTGTGCTTGATTGCCAAGCCTTTGAACAGGAGTGTGGCTAAGGTGACCTTGTTATAACGCAAATATTACAGCTGCTTTTCAAATGCAAATTACACTGTTGTAATGATCACTGGAGACTGGTCTCTATCACAACATTGTTGCTTCAGCCTCACTCCAAATCAAAGGCTTGGCAACTAGCTAAGTACACAACTGTAAATTGGCCTATTAGGAGGACTTGTATGAAAGGTAGATGTTTAATCAACATTCAGTCTTAAAGTCAGTTATGAAGTAAATCTACATATCCCAAAAAGTTCTATTCTGTGTGGAACCTCAAATTTTAACATGAAATATCTAGATGTAATCCCTTGTTTCCAAAATCTTGGAAGCACTTTCTCAATTTTGAAATTAATATAGCTTTAACATCAGATGAATATTTTACAGCAGTGGAAGAAATGTCTCTACAATATTAATACGTGCCTTTTAGAAGTTGCATTTGTCCACAAGAAAACTTGACAAAAGTTTTCGAGTCTCTGAGTAGTGGGAAAAAATATAAAGGGATTGAGGAAAATCAGCATAATATATATAAAAATTACCAAATTTCTTTTTTAGCCTCGTTTCAGAGAGATTATCTACTCACGGACCATTTACAAACTGGGTGAATATTGGTCTTTTAACTAAACTAGTGTTATGGCATGGATAATATGACTAAGTCAAATTGGCTGAAAGGAGTAATATCACTAATAAATCATGAGGTTTAATAAATTTTCCCACGTTTTTTAATCACAAACACTTAAAGTATGAGCTGACAAGTTCCCATCATAATTAATATCCTTCTTTGTATTTTCTCCCTTAAAATGTCAAATTAAGTAATATTGCCATTATGCCCACGGTTAAAAATGAAAGATTCCTTCAAAGGATACAGCTAACCCCTTATCACACCAAGTGATTGCTTCTTCAAATTTCTTCAGTTCAACACAGGCAGTGGCTCCTGTAGGTAACAATACAAAGAACCGTATATTAATTACTGTAGCTCAATTCCAAGAAAAGAACCAGAAAACATTGAAAGCTAAATATTTACAGACCAAAAAAACCAAAAAACAACAAAAACAAAAAGAAAACTAAACAAAAGGAAAAGAATAAACAGGCCCTGGTAGCTTTCAGTTAGATTGACTTTTGACAACTGAAACTTCTAAGAACATTTAAATTGGGACTGATAATTCCCACAAAATTACTAGGAGATATAGATAGAATATAAGACATGCAATGCAAAAACCGAAAAATAAAACCCACCTTTTCAAATTTTTGTAATGGTACATTTTTCAATTAACCTTTTTAAAACTAAGTTAAATTTCAACTTCAATAAAAGTACAAATTTAAATATTTTATTTAATATTAATACCAGTGTCCCCTTGGTTTTAGTTAACATATTTGTTTTACTCAATCAGTTAATAATTGCTTGCTAGGAAGAGGCTCAAACTAAAGTTTAAAGTTCACATAGAATAAGATTTCTTCATGCTGTCTGTAGTTACATCATTATTACATGTATTATGGCATTTCAAATTAAGTTGTAGTTGATGAATGAGGAAATTTTCTTAACAGTTTTGAGTTAATTTAAGTCCTTACTTCTTTCCAAAACAGCTAGATAGTGACTGAACATATCTGACACTACTACCTAACTCAGTGAGCTTAAGGAAACAAAAATATTCATGCTGAAATGTTGCTGTGTATTCAGCATTGAGTTCTTCATCCAACTCAAAATAATAATCTCATCATAATGGAGAATCACAGACAGCAGTCAAAGTCAATTGAGACAAGATTTAACTTATCGATCCTAATTAGAGTGATGGGTTCCTTTTTTATCATTATTATAACACAGCTAACATAAAGATCTAACCTCTCACAATTGCCTCAAGGAATGTTGGATTTAACTCAATGGCTGCTTCTGCATCAATGAGTGAATCCTGGTGATTTCCTGTAATTAATAAAAATTAAATATCTCTGATTAGCTGTACATTATAGCAAACCCACCACTTTTACATTAAGTTTAGGAAAAACTTGTAATGCTCATTGATATCTGGGGTAAAAGCTAGGTTCCTTCTTTGTACAATTAAGAGGCCAAGATAAGGTCTACATTCAAGATTATAACCTTTTTCAGAAAACTACTACTGACAACCCTTAGCTTCAAAAGGGAAAAAAATGCATATTAAAACTCTCATCATCTTACCAAGTTTAAAATGTGCAATAGCCCTGTTGTTGTACAGTTTGGCCTTCAGTTCTTTCTCATTGCAGTTTGTTTTAATTCCTTCAGTGTAAAAATGAAGAGCATTGATGAAATCTCCTTTCTTGAAGGCCTCATTACCCTCATTCCTATAAACATCAGCTGTAGCTGCAAAGAATAAAAAAAAAATTAGTTTGTGTCATAGTCACTGCATATTTAATTAGTGTATAAGAAGAGCTGCCAAGATCTGGAGATTTAAAGTCTGCAGATTTTTCCTTTTGTGCCAGCTGCCACTTTTGCACCTGCCTGACTTGACCCATAAACCTTAGATGATGTCTGCAGCCCCCCTCCCCTCCCCCTCACAAGACAAACCCCCACTCTGCTCCTCTATGAGAGACCTTTTCCTGGGTTGAAAGCTCAACCAATCAGACTCAGTTGCTGTTGTGGTTGTTGTTTTGAAAGGGTAATCCCTACTTTGAAACAATCTAAGTGCAATCAAGAAAATTAAGGTAAGAACCTTAAGATAACCATAATAACATTGAATATGGAAAAATCTGGAGTTCAAATGTTATGTTTCTGTGAGGAACTGACCCAAATCCTCTTTTATCTTGAAGATTTGATGACCCATATGGGAGACCCAGTGTCTCCTTCTGTGTCTCTGAGACTCCCTGATAATCAGGGAGAGTCAGCATAATTATAAGTGTTAAAGAGTCTACTGCTTTAATCACTTTTGGATAGTTAATGAGTCAATAAGATCTAAATGTTGCAATTGTAAAAACCAGACATAATATTACAAATAGACAAATAGTTATTATATAAATGATAGGAATAATGATAAAGAAGATGAGATTTAAATAGTTATGATAATGCAAATAATGTGAGTGACACCACACAGTGCTAATTATAGCAATGAAAATTATGCATCACTCAATTTGAAGCAAACCACCAGGCATTTAAACTTTTGGAGACCAGCATCCTAAAATTCCTATCCCCCTAGGTAAAATATGCGTTCAAATGCCCCACATTAAGTTCCTATGCAAAAAGCAAAATAATTTAGCAACCTGCCCCTCCCCTCCTTTTGGCTTGATGAGAAGGGTGGGGATGTTGAAGCTTTTAAATTGATTGTTGCATTATAATAGGAAGATTATGATGATGATGATGATGGCATTCTATATAATGATGCAAACTTTAAATTCAGATCTTACATTATAATGATCAAATAAAGTCTTTATAACTTTGTGTAGTTGCTTTGAACTGTTGTAATAATAGACTGCCCAAATATTCTTTAAAGTGGTCATAGAGTGTATCCATCCTTCTCCATATCTGCTCAGTTACATTCTTGAAAATGGTGGAATAGAAGAAGTTCTAACAATAACTCAAGCTGAAGCTCAACACAGCTCACATTGCAAAGTGTCCTCATCAAAATCTGGTGCATTTTCTTTTTCAGCTAAGTCTTCATTTTCACATGGAACTTTAATTGGACTTCTTTCTGTAGCCATAGCAACTGTAAGAAGACTGATGCTTCTTACAAAAGTGCTGTGTTAAGTTATCCGGGCCTGAGAAAAAGATGGTTTCGAATAGTAATAAACATCAGCACAACATACTACCCAAAATAAGTATTTTTTCCCCTCTGACAATGGGAGGGATACCAAGGCACAAAATCACAAGAAATTAATATTAATGGCATATTAAAAGCAACAAAAGAACAAAAGATGAAAAAAGAAGAACAAAAGAAGAAAACAAGCATTTCACTTACTGTTCATTTTTAAATGAACAGTATTATTCACTTCACTTTATAATAAATTTCAATAATTTATAAAATACATTTCCAATTAATTGAGATAAATTGAGCAAAACTCAACATCTTTGTGTAGCACATTCATACAGCAGCAATTTAAATCATTTCAACTAAGAGACTGTGGGTAGTTATGGAAAGTCTGAGCTTATAATACTGCTTTCCTCACATGAAGTGACTAGGAGAGACTACCCACCCCTGGATGACTGGATGAGATGCCCCCCGACATTTTATCAGGCTGCCCTGACCGAAAAAATATCACTAAAGTGTGCTGATGTATGTTAAAATGGATTTCAATACTGTACAGGTGCTGACGTTTGTGGTTTAAAAGTATATGTACCAGTATATAACAAATAGTTATTATAACCTCCTCATGTTTCTATTGTTTTGTGCACAAAATTGATAATGTCTTTGATGCTGACTTAAATTCTCCTGATAATCAATATCGTGGCAGTATAGAAATGATTGATTGCTAATTCTCCCAGTAAGGCTCAGGAAAGCGAGGTAATAGTCACACACTGTTAATTGGACTAAACTAATGTATATTGAATCTTAAGGCCTCCAAGTAAAAGAGAATATGCTTTATGATTGTCTGTATGGTGTATTTGTGATCACGCCTTTACTTTAAAAGGGGTCTAACATAAAAACAAACATAACGAAAAAACATATTCAATTTGGTGATTAGCGCTGATCGAAGCACTTTCAATTTCGTAAATAAAGTGAAAGTGCTTCGCTCATCAATAAACACAAAATTAAAGATATCCCTTGAACTTTCCTTGAAACACTACTGAATCGTTCGTTCTTTCCGTGATAAATATCAGTTTATTATTCCTGTGCCTTTTAGAAGAATTCGTCAACTGTGAGTGTAAATTTTAAGCTCTTATTAATAAATACTGAATAACTTGTGGCGCAAGTTCAACCCAGCGCCAGATTCAAGTAAAAGTTAGAAATCCTCGGCAGTTGTTATTTGCCTTTATGGCCAGAAATCAAAGACAATTAGCGTAAGTCAAAGAAAGACTTGATGGAGAAAGCAACTACTGAGTTACTCACAAAGGAATATTTACTAAGTCTACAAAAACCTCATACAAACCTGTGAAACTTCTCACCTCTGTTGTGGGAACGGAAGCGATATTCGGCCTTTTTAAGACCTTGTCACCTCAGTTCGATACGGAAAGCTTTCAAAGAAACTCGCTTGAATTAATAAGGTCCTGTCAAAACACGAGAAATTCGTTTTGGAATAAAAATCTCGATACCACGACCTGTTCGGTGCTGTTGTGAATTAAAAGGATATTTATGCTTCGATTAGCTATTAGCCTTTAGTGAAGGTGACGTATGACGTATGAAGTCTGTCGATTTTATAAGCCAATCGCAGCGATCGGCGAAAATCCCCAGGTGTGTCCGGTGCGGCGATTTCGATTTTCATCGATCGCCGCGATCGGCGTATAAAATGGCCGATATCTGACCTGCCAGATCAAATTTGGCGATTAAATTTGCCACGATCAGCGAGTATAATCGCCAGGTGTGCTCGTAGCTTGAGTACGAGCTTTATAAGCTCGCGATCGTTTATAAGACCGGCCATGTTCGATTTGAGGTTGAGCTTTTGTGTTTATTGGTGAGCGAAGCACTTTCACTTTATTTACGAAATTGAAAGTGCTTCGATCAGCGCTAATCACCAAATTGAATATGTATTTTGTTTTGTTATTATTATGTTAGACCCCTTTTAAAGTAAAGGCGTGATCACAAATACACCATACAGACAATCATAAAGCATATTCTCTTTTACTTGGAGGCCTTAAGATTCAAAATACATTAGTTTAGTCCAATTAACAGTGTGTGACTATTACCTCGCTTTCTTGAGCCGTACTGGGAGAATTAGCAATCGATCATTTCTACATTGCCACGATCTTGATTATCAGGAGAATTTAAGTCAGCATCAAAGACATTATCAATTTTGTGCACAAAACAATAGAAACATGAAACGATTAAAATAACTATTTGTTACCCCCCTTGTTGATTTGTGTACTATGTTTGAACGGAATTTGATCATATGAATTAACGTTTAAGCGTTTGACGAAAATGAAATACCGCATGTATAAATCAATTGTTTGAACAACTTGTCAATTGAGTCGTTGCCTGAATCACTGCAAACAGTGAAACTGTCGATATACTTCTCTTCATTTCTATTTACGGCGAAACTATACATATTATTCATTGATTTATGATATGATTAAGTGAAATATTCAAAGTACAGATCCCTATTGTTAATCAGTTCAGGTTAAGTTAGGAGCAATTGATGGTTTCATCGCTAAAGTTCTGACTCGCTCCTGCAAAGATTGACCACATTCATCCGGCACCCTTAAGAGTAATAAATGATGACTCACGTCCTGATGATTGACACGAATAGTCATGGCGCCCCTTTGAGTTAGGCTCTTTTCAAGTTGAAAGCCGTTCACTGCAACGATTGTGCACAATGAACATGTGCATTGCGCAAAAACCTTTAAATCAACTTTACCATTATTATTTTAAACACTGAATTAGTTGCGTTTGAACATTTACATAACAAAGAGAGAAAGCAAATAAAATACAACGGGTCTCACTAATAAAAAAAAAACGGAATAAGATTATCAGGATTGAAACCCATTTATTTGTTTGAGGGAAACATAAAAGGATTAACTAACAATTGCGCTTGAGACACGAAAACACGAACATTGTGCCATGTGCATTTCTGACTAGACAAGGAACAGGCCATTTACAATTCGTTAAAGTCATTTTCTCTGTCGTTCACATAGAAAGTAAAGAAATAGAATTACCCAAAGTGCATTTTGATTGAGTGTCTTGAAACCAAAGCCAAAGTTATAACATCAGCCAATCAGAGGAGAGGAAATCTTGTCAAAGAACCGATATGAATTCAAAGTAAAAACAAGAAAACTGCAACAATTCGCGGGAACGCGCGAGGGTAAAAGTCGCGATTGAGTTTAGCGTTGTATCTGATTGGTTGCGAAAGGAGCGGGAGTTTTCTGGACCAATCACAGAGCGTGGCGAAGCAAATCTCGGATTATTTTCGACACTCAATCAAAAATTGCGCCAAATGGGATGAGAGGCCGTCTTTCGTCTTTGATAAGAACATTCAGCTGTCATTGCACTTGCAAGTGTGTTTGAGAAAATTCAAAAGGCTGAATTGAAATCAAAAATGAAATTTTTTTTTCTCACCTTGATATTACTCCAATGTTGTTTTTTTAAACGAAAATCGTCAGTATCTACAGTTTTGGTGAAACTTTTGCAAGGTTCCGCTTAGGATGATGCTTATGACCGTAAGTACTACGTTAGCAATGACCGAAAAATCAGAATAACCAGTAATCGTCCGTTCTACCTTTGCGGCTGACACCAGTTATTGCCAAGATTTTTGTTACAAAATTCGTCCCTGTTTCATGAATCTCATTTCAGTTGCTGACGCATATATTGACAAATGAGAAATTTAAAGGACTAAAATAGCGTCCACGTTAATAATTTGTAGTTCAGTGAGCTGAGCCTAAAGGAAATCAATTTTGATTTCAATGCGTTTTTCCGCCTTTAAGCAAATTGATGATAGTGAAATATTCCATGCATAACATATGAATAACATTACATGTACTACTTAAGGATTATCTAATAGTTACCTTGTGGTTGTCTTGATTAAATAATTTTAAACCCTTTAACCCCAGAAGTGATTAACATGTAACTTCTCCCTATCATAACCATACAGTATTTAGCAAACAGGTAATGAGAATACTCAATCTTATCAGGTAGAAGTTGTTATCAGGATCTAACACCAGATTCTCGTAACCAATTTACAAGGAAATGTGTAGCAGCGAGAGAGGAGAATTAACAATCAGATCTTGGGAGTTAAAAGGTTTGATTCTTTTGGAGTAATAGAATTATTATTGGCTCTTCGGATTAGATAAAGATACTCTACTAGATTAAATTATTTTGCAAAGAATCCTTTGACGGTGGTATATTTGCGTTGATAACGAAAATCTGAAAAGGAGAGGCGAACATTAATTAATATGACGTGAGCCATAAAAAATGTCTAATGAAGACGTACATCGATCAACTAAAAAGTATTCTTTGGCGCTCCTTCCCTAGTTCCTAGAAAAGAGTATGCATAGCCTCCATGCTAAAGTTTTAAACCGCTTTCTCCTATGAAGGAGACTGTCAGTGTAGCTCAGTTTAATGAACAATAGCTTTGTAAAATTAGCTTAAACCATTTGCGCTCGTTTTCCACTCACTTGGAATTAGAAATGTGAATTCAAAATCTCTGCGTCCATGGAACACAGCCTGGTTTCTTGTTGCCTGGTTTCTTGTTGCTTGGTTTCTTGTTCCTGTTCACCTTCCTCGAGTGTAACATCAACGACACTACTGTCCTTTACCGCACCTATAAGAGTAGGCATCTCCTCTTGTCCTGTTTGCAGCTGATTATCAAGGACATTCTTCTCAACCATACCAGTCACTTCTGCCTGCAGGCCATTGAGGGGAGAAGCAGGGCTAGGAGGTAGGGAGAGGGACCACTGTGGATTTTGTAGCCATTATAGAATGGATAAATTCGCCTGAATTCGTGCGCTAAGGGATTTCGGAATAACTAAAGAAAAATAATTTTTCCGAGCCAATATAATGATTCACACGTTTTCACCGGATGCCACATGAGGGCAGATCGAGCCAGCTGTAATCTACGTTTTACATTTGCACGAAATTTGAATAATAAATTATGAAAGTACCGCATAAATATTAGAAAATTAGTGGTTTGAAGAACGAAGGAAAGTTCACGAAATAAATTCTTCCAATTACACAAGTAGGGCGAAAAACTTCCCATTGTTTACACTTATAGCACTTTAATTGTGCTTGAAAATTAGCGGTTTCCCATCAATATCGCTGATAGATATTGCTACGACATCTGCAATTAAAAAGAGTACTAATACTCCCAAAATACCTCATAATCACATGCCATATGTCCCAAGGGAGACTGTTCTGCGATAGTTTTAGGCTCGAGACATGTCAGGGGAAGAACTCAGGAGCTTAATTGGTAGTACGAAGACACAATTACCACACTCAGAATGCAAATTAATGCTGAAGTGTTAACTCGTCGCTAGTATGTTCTTGTCGGGAAAAATGCCAAACAATTTTCACTCATGCACGAATTACTCATTTTAGTATTAAGGCTTTTAGTCAAGACAGGGTATATCTGCTCTTTCTCGACCAAATGACAGTTTTTTACAAGCAGCAAACAAGTCAAGATATTGGTCGATATATACATATATACATGTATACATGTATCGAGACATACGTTTTGCTCAGATGATGTCTGAGTTTCTACGGATCATCCATCAGCACAGCGTATGACAACTTTCTCAAGGGAAAGCAGCTGGATTCATAAATTTATTCAGCTAGTGTCTACACATCTTCATCTAAGGTTTAACAATCAAACTGCAAATGCCATGGGTTGTTTTGCATCGCGTAATAACAGAATTGAAATTGTAGTCTCAGTTGCTGAGGCAACATCGACTTCGAGAATCAGAGACATTCCGCTATCACACGAACAAAAATGCATTTTAAGAGAATTTTGGCAGCTCATTGAGCCCATTAAGAGCGTCATAGGAAAGAAAGTGTTTGGACGGTAAGTGTTTTAAATACTCGCTATCTCTGGTTTGTTGTGTTTCATTTCCTAAAAAAAGAAGACTGTAGAGTCTCGAGTTGACAGTAGCTTTTTTATGAAAATATCATACCACTATTAGGATTGGAATCGTTTAAAATGGAGAAAAAGAGGAAACAGTATGCTGATCCTTATTGGATGTCATGCTACACGTGAAAGTTGCTAACTTAAACATGCTGAATCCAGTGGTACAATTCCTTGGTATATAGGAAGGTCTTCGCGCGATTATTCTTAATGACTTCCATGTTTTTTTATTCTTCGTTCCTCATTTGTTACCAATAGATTTTACCTCTATTTTTCGTTGCATGATGATCGAAACCTCAATTTCGATGGATGATATCCTAAATAATTCATTTGAAGTGTCAGTAAACACTAAAAATTTGTTGTTCAGTCGGTGATGACCATGGTATCGATAAAACACAGCGTTGAAGATTTTGTTCGAACTAGGAAGTTAATGTACATCATTTTCTATTTTCAAATTTAAGTTATATTTGAATAACATGTGATTTTCTTTTTTTCTTCACGCGACCCCACAAGCTTGTATTTCCAACAGCCGAAATGCGTGCACCTTTCAAACTCAATTTGTTTTTTTATAACATTTAAAGACGTTCACCAAAAATAGATTTATATTTCAAGTGTGTTTTTTTTTATTTTTCATGTCAATAAGTCGCCATTGTGTCTTTGGAACCCATATTGTTTTGCAGAAAAAATTCGTTCCCAACTGCAACATTCAAGCATTTATATAAATCATTTGAAAAATGAGAAGGAAAAAGGAGCATTTCCTGGGGAACTAAGAACAATTATTTACAAGTTTACGGATAGGATCGGTAGCTGTTTATAATTGCTGACATATTTTTCACTGCCTAAATCATCTATGAGCTGATCAGGTTCAGAATAATTTTCACATTTGTGAGAAAGAGGGTTAGTCATCGCGTAGATAGAAATGAGTTTTCCAAATGCAAAAAACCTAAAATATAACAGGCAAACTTTCGCAACTGCTACCGATGTTTATGAATTGTTGAGGACCATTGCTGTCTAGAGAATTTGCAGACTTATCATAACGTGTTTAATGTCCTTCAAAAGGTGCCACCTGTCGTTTGTGTATTTCCTGTTGTATAAAGAGTTAAGCTACGACTTAGCTAGAGCAATACTTGAACAAGTCGCTAGGAACCGAGCCCCGGTTTCAAAGAAGAACCTGAGAAATGGAAACAATCAACAATTAAGTAGACTGTGAAAACGTTTTCTCGAGCCTTTCCGTGCGCAAACGCGAAAGTACCAGCGCTGCTGCGTGTTTTGCTAGTTTTCTTACCAATCGGGTCATTATTTTGCGCAAATTGACTTTCAAATGCAAACCCATGCGCACTACCTTCGTGATAGCATAGCTCTATTGAGGATGTGAATGGAGATTCATAACTGAGAAGCTGTGGCTTGTTGTGAGTATTTCTCAGTGTCTTGATTTTTTTGCATAACTTGCAAAATAGGAGTAAAGTTTATATCTAAAGTAAACGTAAGTCGAATTTCCATTATTCAGAGTTAATAATGATGTCCGTGAATGATTTTGTTTCAGACTTTTTGAGTCCAACCCAAGAATTCAAGACATATTTCCCGCCTTTAAGAGTTTGAAACTTGAAGCCGTAATCAACTCTCGATCTCTGTATCTTCACGTCAGACAAGTCATGACTGCGCTGGAAAATGCTATTTTTTTCTTTAAACGACGCAGAGGTTTTCATCGAGTATTTAATGAATCTTGAGAAAGACATAAAGCATGGCCCGTGAGGCTGGAACATTTCGATGTATGTATCCTATTATGCCAATCAATGTTACCTTGAGGTATATATTGTCGTATATTGCTGTATTGTGATGTAAACTGCAGTAGCGGGAATTATAGTGCTATCTAGGGGCACATATTGTTGTGTAGCGCTATACTGTATTATAAACTGCAGTAGCGGGAAATATAGTGCTATCTAAGGGTACATATTGTTGATTAGGATGTATCAAATATTTTTGCTTGCGCGCAATTGTTTTAAACGTAGATGAATATCCCTCAACTAAAACTAAGAGATATTCAGTCACGATATTCCCCAATTTGCAAACCTTACGTCCACCACGATAGGTCTTCGTTTCAAACTCAATTCAATTTAGTAAGCTGTTCATAGAGAATTGTTCACGAAAAGCGCTGCATAGTTATAAAAACTGCATTATACGGATGTACAATGTATCAAAGAACGTTTAGCGTGGTATGGTGCTGTGTATAGATTTAAACTGCATTTTACGGATTTAAAGTGCTACTCAGGGGTACAATAATGTATTTTGCTGTATAATGATAAATGTTGAAGTAAGGGATGCACAATGCCATTGAAGGGAGGGGGGAGAGGGGCATATAGGCGCGCGTATTCGAGGAGTTTATTCTACGATGTAAGGGGACATAGAGTCCAATAATCGACGGAGCGTGTTTGCTCATAATGAATCTTTCTAGTTGTTATCGACTGCCTCTATGGAAGTACCATAGTAAGTTATTCTTTGTTACTTATTGTTTTATCAAAACTCTTTCCTAGGGTCTTCTCTGTATCTACATCCAAGATGACGGGTACCAACTCTGTGGAGTCTGTGGATTGGTCTGCCGTCATCTTGGATTCGCGATGTAGGTGGACCCCAGGCGAGAGTTTGACCCATTCTCAATCAGATGATAGAAGAAGCCTTAATTTGGACATTAAAAGATTCGTTTCCAACAAAATGCACCGATTATGTCGCCGAGACTTGGAGGGAGCTCTTTCGCTTTATAACCGCTACAATGATGAGAGGACTGAGGAGAGCAAACACTGGAAAATGGGACTTTAAAGTGAGAGAACCTGTGGACTAGGAATCAATCGAAAGGAAAACTGAGATTTTACTAGAGATGACGTTAAGAGGACACCATCCTTAAGTGGACAAAATAAGCAAGATAACTACTACTAATTCATTTGAACTGTCAGTAAACACTAAAATTTGTTTTTTAGTCGGTAGTGACCATAGTATCGATGAAACACAGCGTTAGAGATTTTTTATTTAGGAGTTATAGTATATAGAAATTTCTCTTTTTAAATTCAAGTTATATTAAGATGGCATGTAATTTTCATTTTTTCTTCACGCGACCCCACAAGCTTGTAGCTTAAAATATTATTTTGTATAAAGAAAGATCATCTATCTATCTATCTATCTATCTAGAGATAGATATCCCTTTGAGAAGCGTTGAAAAATCTATTGTTGTCTAAATTGTACCACTGAAGTAGAGCAGTAAATTCAACCATGTTCACCAGCCGAAATGCGTCCACCTTTGAAACTCAATTTGTTTGTCTTTTAGGACTTTTAAAGACGTTCGCCAAAAATAGATCTATATTTCAAGTGTGTTTTTTATTCATTATGTCAATAGGTCACCATTGTGTCTTTTAAGCCCAAATTTTTTGCAGGAAAAATTCTTCCCCAGATGTAACATTCAAATATTTATATATCTCATTTGAAAAATGAAAAGGAAAAACGAGCATTTCCCTAGGAACTGAGAACAGTTAATGACAAGTTTACAAAAAGGGATCAGCAGCTGGTTACATCTGCTGACAAATTTTTTACTGTCTGATTCACCTCTGAGCTGATTAGGTACAGAATAATTGTCACATTTGTGAGAAAGAGGGTTAGTCATCATATAGATAGAAACGACTTTTCCAAATGCAAAAAACTCAAATATAACGCGTAAACTTTCGTAACTGCTACCGATGTTTATGAATCGTTCATGAGTATTGTTGCCCAAAGAATTTGCAGACTTATCATAACTTGTTAATGTCCTTTAAAAGGTGCCACCTGTTGTTTGTCTATTTCCTATTGTATAAAGAGTTAAGTTACGTCTTAGCTAGTGCAGTACTTGAATGAGTCGCTAAAAACAGAGCGCCGGTTTTAAAGAAGAACCCTACAAAATGGAAACCATCAACAATTAAGTAGACCGCGAAAATGTTATTCCCCAATTTGCAAACCTTACGTCCACCTCGAAAAGTCATCGTATCAAACTTTATTCAGTTCAGTAAGCTGTTCATGAAAATTTTTTCACGAGCGTTGCAAAATGTTTGAAGGATAAAAAACACAATAGCCTCTATCTCGCGCGAAAACATGTACGGACTAAGATCCGCACTTGTTTTTGGGCCAAATTGGAGAAATTGTTTATAAAGCGCTGTATGGTGATGTAAAATTCAGTAGAGGGAAGCACAGTGCTAACTGGGGGTACATATCGTTGTGAAGCACTGCATTTACGGTGCTATTCACGGTTATAATGTTGTACTGTGCTGTAGAATGATAAAAGTTGAAGTAGAGGGATGTATAATGCTAATGAAGGGAGGGGGAAGAGGGGCATATAGAGGCGTGCGTATTCGAGGAGTTTTTCATACGATGTAAGGAGACATGGAGTCCAATAATCGACGGAACATTTTGCTTATAATGAATCTCCCAGGCTGTTATCGGCTACCTCATAGGAAGTTTCATAGTAAGTTATCTTTTCCTAATTATTGTTTTGTCAAAACTTTTTCCCAGGGTCTTCTCTGCGTCTACATCCAAGATGACGGCTACCGACTCTGTGGGGTCTGTGGATTTGTCTGCCGCCATCTTGGATTAAGTGGACCCTGGGCGAGAGTTTGACCCATTCTCAATCAGATGATAGAAGAGGTCTTAACTTGGACATTGAAGGACTCGTTTCCAACAAAATGCACTAATTATGTCGCCGAGACTTAGAGGAAGCTGTTCCGCTTTATAACTGCAACTGTGATGAGAGAACTGAGGAGAGCAAACACTGGCACGTGAGACACCATCCTAAAGTGGACAAAATAAGCATGATAACAACTACCCTGGGGGAGTAAGGAGGTAAATGAGTCGTAAGAAGCCTGGGGTTGCGCAAGGATTAAGACGAATGAAAACTGAAAGAGACAGGCGGATAGTCGCATCTATTGAAGCGCGCGGAAGAAAAATGTTGAGGGCGATGACCAAAGTGCGCGTAAAGATGGGATAAAGAGAAAGTGCTATGAAAAAAGGAAAGAATGAAAAAAAGGAAGCAGAAAAAAAGGGAAGCACAAATGTGAAAAGGTGCAAAAACTTGTGTGAGGAAAAAGGTAAAAAAGGTGCACACATGTAACAGCATAAACAGGTCCGTCGGCGTTCAAAACCGCGTGAGAATATGGAGAACGATAGACAGTGGAAGAGATACAATTGAAGAATCGACGCGCGTTTGTTAAGTGGGTGGAGGCTCGAAACATGGAATGTTAGTAAACTGTCAGCTGCATAGATTATCAACTTAGCGCGCGCCGGTCAAAACAGGCATTGAAGTTCCCATAGGATCTGTTCTCTCTGGATCTCACGTGAATCCTTAGAATATGGAGACAGACAATAAAAATCAACGCAGTTTTTGTATTTTTTACACTGTATATTTCTCCTACGCAAAGAAGTGAAAAAATAAGTACAATAGCAAATGCATTAAATTGTCCAAGGCTTTAAGTAAAATACGCGCTAAACGGAGACACAAAAATGAACCCATTTACTCCCAAGACTCATCATAATTTAAATTCTCCTCACAGTATTAATACACCGACAGACATGATGTCAATAACAATTTGAGAAAATCTAAACTGGAGGATAATTTTTAGGCTAGAAACGTAATGTTACATCGAATTCCTGGAATGAAGCAACAATTTGAAACATATTCTTATCAGTTGGGAGAATTTTTCTTTTGAACCTGGGAGTTCATGAGTTAATTAATATAAACTAAGATAAATGAACAACTATCTTCAACTGTAAATAAAAATAGCATCAAAACACTTCACGCTAAATAAACTGACATTATACAAAGCATTTAGTTAAAACTGCTCCAGCTTGTTTTTAAAATTCTACGTTACATCCTATTCAACCATGCAGGGGTTCATTATTACATTCTATACCAGCATATACCAATGATAGTTGCGAAAATCTGCAAAATTAAGATTGGTTTTACAAAACTTTCTTGTAAAACAGCTGTGATACAGTATACCTTTTGTTTGACCACGTAACGGGTTCTAATTACAAAAGCACCTTTTGAATATCTAACTATAAATTCTTACACCTAAAAAGACATCAGATATCTTCAAATTATACTACGGTAGATTTAAAGCAACGAAAAAAGTTTGAACAGGGAATTTTCAAAAATTGAAAGTTTTCTTCTGAAGTCCTGAGCCTTTTCAAATAAGGACTAGATTTACATTTATTCATGAACCTTTTCACCGAAATAATTCCTATTGAGGATTACATGGCTTACTTTAACTACTTCTTTAATTAATTGGCGTAAATATTTTCCTAATGGAAAGAACAAGTTCCATTACGTACATTAAAAGTCACAGCTATGGGAACTTCAGCAACAGTGAACTGTGCGTCGCTGTTTCCTTCTTTAGATTACACGGACAATTTTTAACCTCTCTGTCGTGGTTCTTTAAAACGAACAGATAAGTGTTTGACAAAATAGACTAAAATTGAAAAAAAATTCAAAACAGGGTTATAGCCAGCTTTTTGACTTGATGTAGGCCTGTTACCTAAGAAATTTCAATTTTTGTTTCAACATTTGTAAGAGTCATATTATGGAAGTCAAGCGGGCGGAAAACAGTCGTAGGCCAGGCCTACGGGACTAGAGGCTGGCTACACCCCTAAAACTAAGTCTAATGTCTCTAACATACGGTCAGTAAATTCAATATCATGATCATCCCTGATGTAGACTTCTTCAAATTAAGCTTAGAATGGCAACCTTGGCACTGATAGAATCAGATTGAACTGAAATGGATTTTACAGAATTTAAAATAATCAATATTTTTGCAAAGATAATCGCAATTTGTAACAAAGTAATTTATGATATTAAAAAACCATCCAAGTTTAATATCACATATGGCTGCAAACTTTAATTCAAATTTTTGAAATTAAAATTTCGCCAACTTTTGCCAATGACGAACTGTTTCTTTGCTTATCAAAAGCTTAGAATATGAACGCAATGAAAACCCTGTGGACAAGCTCCTGGTTATGTACAAGAAAAAACCTTTAAATTGTTTTCCATACAGCTGATTGTAATACAGGAATGGAGCTGAGTGTTATTTTGGCGAAAACGAAAACCTCGTAATCGCCTTCAACTACTGCAGGCATTCATGACAGAAGCCTTGTTACATTTCGTTCTCTTCGCAAGCATTTAAATTTATAAAGGTAAGAAAAAAAGACAATTCTACTGATCAAAATATAATGAAATAGTCTGTTTTTATTTCTTCACCAAAGTAAAGTTACACATCTCAAGTTCCATTGAGCAAAATAGTAAAAAGTAATGAACAATAGCCAAAAATTGCATTTTGACGTCAACATCCGGGACGTCGGCCATGTGCTTTGTCGAAAAAGACCTAGTCGCCGTGTTTGTGCTGGCATGTTTTGCTTACCAAAATTCTTGAGTTATAGTCACTCTTAACTCGAAACAGTCAGTAAGTTCTATCGTATTTCGTGTGTATTGTAATTTTGCTGGCTAAAGGTGTAATTTCTGTTCGTAGAAAACCTGCCTTATTGCCTAACTGGATGTTTACTCGGCTTGATTACTGGAACATATGTGGATTTTCATTTGAATACCTGTATATGAATGGTTGACTTTTCGCTTCGGAGTCTACGCAATATCTATGAAGTCAAGGGTTACGTCATCTCCAATCAGCAAAAAGGGCGCCCAGTATTTGATGTCATGGAACTCATCTGATTCTCTGAGGCTCCTCATGGCCAGGTTCAGTGACTTGCTTGTAGGTTTACTTTCTGCAAGGTGTTGATAAAAGCATTTCATGAACTCGAGAGTAGCCATGTCATCAATTGCCCGCAGAGACACCACAACAGACCGGGCACCAGCCCCCATAAAAGCGCGCGCAATGCCAACCATACCTTCAGCCTTGATCTCGCTCCCACCGCTGCAACTAAGTACAACAAGTTTGGCGCGAACTTGAACATTCAGCACATCTCCAATTGTTAAAATGTAATCCTCCTTCGTTGGCACAGTAGATGTTCGGTCTGGGTCAGGTGTAAGAGCAATTTCTCCGGTGGCCATACTTCCGTGTGCCGCAAAGTGAACCAAGGAAACGTTACCGAGTCTTTTCAACACCTCACGTTTCGTGGCCTGTATGCCAATGATTGGCGTGATATTAAGAATTTTCCCGATCATTTCTACTTCTTCTTTAGCACACGGAAGCTGCTCGAGGACTTTCTGTCCCTCGCTGTTAATAACCTCGGCTACCCACGGATCTCCTACAAGTAACGCACCAGTGCTTTTGTGGTAATCATCTGGGCAACCGGCAATGAGTCTAAGACTTGTTAACGATGGAGCGAGTCGGATTCTGAACGATTCACACAGGTATTTAGAATTACCATCCTTCAATGCAGCGTAAGGAACGAGCCACAGGGGTCCATCGGGAATAATGAGTAGCTCATCCCCTTCAAGCAGATCAGCCACCGGCTTCATAACGGTATCATACAAAGTTCTCAAGCATTCGTTCTGTTGGATGGTATAGACACCGAGGATGAACGACTCAAAGGACTGGCTAGCTCCACCATTCTCTGAAACAGAACCATTGAGTTTACTTTGTCTCAACTGAACTTGTTTCCCTTCGGACACAACCCAAAGATTGACGTCAGCTTTGTCCACTGCCTGAAAGACAGTGTTTGATGGAACGTTCTTTAAAACTGCTAAATCTTCTTCGCCTCTCTTGTGTTGACTTGTTCCACCACAAAAACTGGATTCCATGAGGTCGGTTAGAGCTTGAGCTCGTCCTTTCTCAGCAGCAAGTAAGGCTTCATCTATCTTACCTTGTTCTACGAGAACTCTCCACAAACCCGTATACGCCATTTGATACTGATTTCGAAAATTAACTTTCCACTCATCTTTAGATTTTAGAAGTATTCTCAAGGAATTGTATAAGTTTATGCTAGCTTTGTAATGTTCAACGGCTTTTGGCAGTCCACCCTGCGACTCAAAAACGCATCCTAATGAAAAGTAGGCCATTGCCTCCAAGGATTTGTCTTCGACCTCTTGGGCAATTTTGAGCATTAGGTTATATGACTTGTTGGCCTTTATATAATCTTCTAGAGTTCGATACACATTGCCAAGATTACCATAAGCAAGACCCTCCCCATGCTTGTCTCCTACTTCTTTAGCTATTGAAAGGTTTAGGTTGTGGTACTCTATGGCTGTTTTTGAATCACCCAGACTACCATACACACTGCCAAGATTACCAAAACTACTACCCTCCCCACGTTTGTCTCCTACTTCTTTAACTATTTTAAAATGCCGGTTGTAATACTCGCTGGCTTTTTCGAAATCACCCAGACTGTAATAAGTCTTGCCAAGTTTGCCAAAAGCGCTACCCTCCCCATGCTTGTCTCCTACTTCTTGAGCTATTCTAAGATGTAGGCGGTGGTAATTTATGGCGATTCTAAACTCGCCAAGACTGCGATGAGCATTGCCAAGATTGCCATAAGCACTTCCCTCCCCATGCTTGTCTCCTACTTCTTTTGCTATTTTAAGATGCAGGTTGTAATACTCGATGGCTTTTTTGAAATCACCCAGACTGTAATAACCATTGCCAAGATTACCATAAGCACTACCCTCCCCATGCTTGTCTCCTACTTGTTTAGCTATTTCAAGATGTAGGCTGTGGTACTCTATGGCGATTCTAATCTCGCCAAGACTGCGATGAGCATTGCCAAGATTGCCATAAGCACTACCCTCCCCATGCTTGTCTCCTACATCTTTTGCTATTTTAAGATGCAGGTTGTAAAACTCGATGGCTTTTTTGAAATCACTCAGACCGTAATAACCATTGCCAAGATTGCCACAAGCACTACCCTCCCCATGCTTGTCTCCTACTTTTTGAGCTATTCTAAGATCTCGGTTATGGTACTCTATGGCCTTTTTGAAATCACCCAGACTGTGATAAGCATTGCCAAGACTGCCATATGCGTTACCCTCCCTACGCTTGTCCTCTATTTCTTCAGCTATTTTAAGATGTAGGTTGTGGTACATTATGGCCTTTTTGAAATCACCCAAACTGTCATAAGCATTGCCAAGATTACCATAAGCGTTACCTTCTCCATGCTTGTCTCCTACTTCTTTGGCTATTTTAAGATGTTGTTCGTGGTAATGCAAGGCTTTTTCGAAATCACCAAGTCTCTGATGAGCATTGCCAAGGTTATTATAAACACTACCCTCCCCATGCTTGTCTCCTACTTCTATAGCTATTTTAAGACGTAAGTTGTGGTACTCTATGGCTTTTTGGTAATCACCCAAACTCTCATACGCACTGCCAAGATTACCATAAACATCAACCTCCCCATGCTCGTCTCCTGCTTCTTTAGCTATATTAAGATGCAGGTTGTAAAATTCAGTTGCTTTTTTTAAATCACATGGACTGTAATAAGTATTGCCAAGATTGCCAAAAGCACTACCCCCTATGACTTTCTTGACATCACCTGAACTTGCACTACCATGGTCATAGCTAATATGATCTTCTTCCTCTGCGGACTTATCTCTCACTTCTTTGACAGACTGAAGTCTTAATGACAACAAGATCCTATTATTTTCGTCAATCTTTTGGTATGTTAAGGTTTAAAAATGCGGAAAAAACAAAAAAGATAATTTTCCTGATCACATTGGTAAATAATGGCCATTTTTACAGTTGCATTCTTGATTGCTAAGCCTTTAAACAAAAGTGTAAGTGAGTGTGACCTTGTAATGATAAAAACATTTGGTGCTTTTCAAATGCAAATTACTTTGTTATTATGCTTACTAGATACTGGTCTCTATCACAACAAGGCCACCTTTAAATTAACATAGCATTAACATCAGATTAATATTTTACAGCAGTGGTAGAAATGAGTTTACAACAAAAATATGTGCCTTTGAAAGTTTTATTTGTTCATAGGAAAACACAACGAAAGTTTGCGAGTCCCTGAGAAGTGGAAAAAATTTAAAGGCAAGAAAATCAGCATAATATATACAAACATTAACAAGTTTCTTTTTCTAGCTCGTTTCAGAGAGATCACCTACCCACATACGTATAAACTGGGTGAATATTAGTCTTTTAAATAAACTAATGTACCAGTTGTGGCATGGATAGTATGACTAAGTCATACCTAAAAGGAGTTAATATCACTATTAAGACACGAGGTATAAACTTTTCCCACGTTTCCTATTCCTACACACCCAATTAAAGTACAGTGTATAAGCTGACACGTTCCCATCGTAATTAATATCCATGTATAATGTATCTTCTCCCTTAAAATGTCAAATTATGAAATATTTTCACTATACCCATGGTTAAAATTTAAAAATTCCTTTAAAGGATACAGCTAATCCCTTATCACACCATGTGATTGCTTCTTCAAATTTCTTCAGTTCAACACAGCCAGTGGCTCCTGTAGACAACAACACAAATTAAATAAGCAAATAATTCTACAGCCGTAGCTCAATTCTAAAGAAGGTACCAGAAACCTGATTAAAACTAAGTCATTACAGACCAGAAAAAAATGAAAACAAAACAAAAAACCTAAATAAAAGGAAAAGAATAAACCGGGTCAGCGGCGCCAATATGGCGGCCACGAGGATTTTAGCCCCTCTTCTTCTGTTACTATGTCTCCATTTAGAAAAACCTATAATCCAAGAAAATTTGCCTAGCTTCTTGCTAAGCGTTCGAAAGGCCTGTTGTGGGGATTCTGGAGTTAGAGATGACGCGGTGTTTCGGCATGGTCCTTGTTCATGTGTAAGATTCGTAACCCGGCGCTCGCGACATGCCCGTCTTCGGTATTCTGTATTGGTATGGCACAAACATGGCTTGTTAACCATCGCTTCAAGTGAACAGGATATCTGTCTGGACATATGCATTTGTATGGACGTGGAGTCGAATCCAGGGCCAGACAACCGCTTCGAGTGTGAGAGTCATACGACTCGACTTATTACGTATACGAAACAAGACCTTCTGAGACTCCGCAAATTTCCAGCAAGCCGATTGAAACCTATGCCTGCTGTGGTTCAGAAACTGAAGATGTTTAATCTTTATCGGTATAGAGGCTGTCGGGGAGGCAGCTGGCGACGTGAACTGGGAGTGGAAGTGGGTAAGGTATCTTCTGGTGAGAGCCGTGATGAGAAATCTATTCCGGTTATTTTTAGTATTCGAGGAGATGTGAGCTCATCTATCAGGGCCAGGGATATGAAGAACCTTGTCCCAATTCCTAAACGGAAGCAGAACCCCGTCTCGCGAACTGTTTCTGAATTTGCTGTACCAAAGTTTCTATTTACAAATATATGCAGTCTGGCCAAAACCAAGAACAGAGTTCGAGCGGCAGTGGCGCTGGAAGCCAATTTGAATAATAAGGACATTGATGTCTGTATTGTATCAGAGACGCATTTAAAACCAGAAATGCCGGATGCTATCGTCAACATTCCTGGCTATTATATTTTCAGACGGGATAGAAACTGGTCGGGACTGGATAAAAGAAGTAAGGGAGGGATTGTTATCTACGCGAGGAGTAACTTAAACATCATCGATGTTTACAGATCAAAGCTTTACGAGCTGCTGTATGTGATTTTTAAATTACCCTCGGGACATTTGTTATTAACGTGTGGTATTTGTCACCCGCCTAAACCTACATACTAACCGGCGGATTTTTTGCAATACTTAACCCACTTAATGGACAATGCACTAGATCAACATCCTGGTTTGACTATGGTTGCTGGAGGCGATGTTAATCGGCTTGACACTAATGAGCTTATTGTAATGACAGGATGGGACTCTTGTAGATTTTCCAACAAGAGGCGACGCGTATTTAGACAAGGTCTTCACAAACCGGCCGAATTTATTTGCAAAGAGCATTCCATACTTTGTGTCCATAAAAACAGATCACACAGCAGTCATCTTATCAGCAGGAACGAAATTAAAGCCGATCAGACAAAACGTTCGCATTAGGGATTGTAGAAGACACCGTAAGGAGGGATTGTACCTAAAACTAGTAAGTGAGAATTGGGAAAGTGTCTTAAACTTAAATGATGAAATTAAACACCACATGGATGTGTGTATGCCGTTGCGGTCAGTACGCATGTCATCGCGTGATCCGGTGTGGATGACACCCTTAGTAAAATCGTTAATGAGGGTAAAGTCAAGAATAGCTCCAAGCAATAAAGATCGGCTGGCTGAGGTTAACAGGAAAATAAGCGTATTGATTAGTAAAAACAGAAGAACACTCGCAAAGGCACCTGTCGGATCCAGAGGCGGAAAACTTGTCCCAACAACGCAGCAATTCTGCTAACGTGACATTGGACACTAAATCACTGGCGGAGCTAAACGACTACTTCACCGATTTGTGCACTGATGACGCACATACGAAGCCTGTACCAGCAATTGTGGATAAGAGCTTAGAAGCCCCTCAGATATCAGAAAGACACGTGTGGAATTGCTTACAACATCTGAAGAAAACCGCTATGGGACCAGATCTCATTCCCTTTTGGATTTGGAGGGATCATGCTGAGATCTTCACAAGTGTCATTCATAAGATCTGGAATGTCTCCCTGAAAACTGGCAAGTGGCCCTCCTCGTGGAAAAAGGCCCACGTGACGCCCCTCCCTAAGATCGACATCCCTAAGGGCAAGCAGGACTTCAGAGGATTTAAGATCACGCCTGTAATTGCACGCGCGTTCGAGAGATCTGTGTATAACACCCATGCATGAGACATTGTCGAACAGCATCTGAGTTCAACACAGTTTGCTTATACGACAGGGGGAAGTTGCACTGATGCGCTCTTGAGCATGCAGCATACCATCTACAGCTATTTAGACGAGCAAGACTGCAAAGCCGTCTGAGTATTTGCAATGGATTTTAGTAAAGCATTTGACTGTGTCAATCATGCACTCCTGTCATCTAAGCTTAGGCAGTTGCCATTGAATCCCCTTATTGTGAACTGGTATTTAAGCTTTCTCGAGAAACGCCAGCAGCGAGTAGTCTATAATGGTTTCGAGGGACAGTGGCGTGAGGTTAATAGGGGTACGACACAAGGTAGTATCAGTGGGCCATATCTTTTTAACGTGTTTATTAATGACTTGGAGATCAATCTAAAAGGTCGCCCAGCCTTGCTTAAATATGCTGATGATTCTACAATTATCGTCCCTCTATCGTCCCTGAGTTAACATATTTGATTTACTCAATCAGTTAATAATTGATACCCAGGAAGAGACTCAAACTAAGGTTTGAAGTTCACCAAGAATAAGATTTACTCATGCTGTCTCTTTAGTTAGCTAATGAGGAAAGTTTCCTTACAGTTTTGAGTTAAGTCCTCACTTCTTTTCAAAACAGCCAGATAGTGACTAAACATATCTGAAAGTCATGGCACAGCAGTTCTGTGCTGGATTCAAATGTACATATCAGGGTGATTGTAGGCAACAACACAAAGAAGCATATCATGACTGTAGCTCAATTCAAAGAAAAGAACCTGAAACCATTGAAATCATTACAGACTAGAAGAAAAAAAACAAAACAAAACAAAAAAGCTAAATGAAATCAAATAAGAAGGCCCTATTAGGTTTCAGTTTGATTGGTTTTTGATAATTGGACTTCTAAGAACATTTAAATTGAGACTGACATTAATCCCACAAACCCTTGCGAACTGAATTCCCAGTTTTCTGGGAATTCCTAGGAATTCTCAAAAATTCCCAATTATGCAAATAACCCTTGCAAACTGAATTCCCAGTTTTCTGGGAATTCCTAGGAATTCTCAAAAATTCCCAACTATGCAAATAAGTTCTGATTTAAAAACCTTGGAATTAGTGAAAATTTCTGGGAAAGAAAGACTCCAGTTTTGTGAGGACTTGGAATTGCTATAGTCCATGAGCCAAATCTCTAAAGTGGCCTAGAAATTGAGTTTCGTAGCACCCCCCAGGAGACATAGTGAATTTGGTATCAAATTAAAGCTTATGACCTATATTGTTAGAATCTACTTGTTTTCAAACCGGTAACTGAAGGATATGAGGTTAGTTTTTTGAAATATTCCATATAACGGCAGAAAACCACGAAAAATGGTAACCCTACCGGAAGCTCGGATTTCACCTGGCGGAAACTCGAAATTTTACACTTTTCAGCTTCTCGCTACACAGACGTTTACATAGCTGTGAATCTTTCTTCAGTATAATTGAATACATTGATTCTTCCTTAGTCAAACCATGGGAATTATTTTTATCTCTGCTTATTTGTGAGCGAACTGAGACCCGATTAAGAAGACACACTTTTCTCATTTACGCGAAGGTGTAAAATAATCCAAACTCAGCGACGAAAAAAGCTGACCGGTAGTTCTTCAAATCCTCTGATATTATAACCAAAGACAGTTCAGTCATTGATTTTTAGGTCTACGGTCTTAAATCTTTAGGATCTAGTAGCACTTTTGCATGAACGCCGATCAAAATTCGATAAAATTCCAATTGAGCGCCTTTGAAATCTACAACTCTACATAACAAAGCACTATTGAATAAATTAACTCCTCGGCCAAAGTTTGTACATAAAACATAAGGGTTTTGCTTTTTTAGCGGTTTGAGGCGTTTTAAAAATATATATTAATGTTAAATATTGTCTACACAGGTAAAACAAACTATGAAACACCAAAATTACCACGAGCTGAAATTAAATCTCACAGGCTCGCTCCCTAATCTGCGTCACGCACGAGCGACTTAGCTACAATTAGTACAGTAACAAACAGATATTTACATCCGTTGATTTTAAATAAGTCGTGTTTTTAAAATATCTTACTCAAAGATGTGCCAGGTTTCCCAGTTAACTTGCTGAAAAAAAAAGAAAACCTTAATAGTAATTCTAGCTCAATTAGAATTTATTTTATTTAGTATGAGAACTTTTGTGCCGTCGAAAACCAATCTGAAGTAACTGTTTCCACGAAAAGCAAATATTGCATCGTTCTCTAAATAAACAAATCTACTTAACCATATAACCAGAGTATGTTGTTGGCGAAGTTAATAGACATACATCATAACGACGTCTTGCTCGTTCTTGAATATTGTCGGTGAGATTTGCGGCGCAGACGAACGCACTTGCTAAGTAGCTTCCAATGGCTAATTTCTACCCTTACTCAGCTTTCGTCACACTGCTCACGCTGTGTAACAAGGATATAAAACATCGCACGAAGTCCTAAAAAACTCTCCGGACTTGAACCAGAATTGATTTTAGCAAGATTGCGTGTTTTTAAAAGCCAACGAGTTTATTGGAGATGACTACCCGTACCGTCTCATCGTGTCACTTAGGCATAACCTGACACGATGTCGATAGTTTCGACTCCTGATGGCCGAGAGCACTCGGATTTCTTTTTTTCTGAGTACTCCTGTGTCGCTTACTGAATAATACATCATTCTCATTTATTCACCAGGCTTAAAAATATTCCATCACATTTATTCCATTGCGCGTATGCCACACATGACATTCCAATCCTAGCAGTATGCAGGATGTTTGTCCCATGAAGCACTCGGATTTTTTTTCCGATTATGCCTGTGTCACTTACTGAGTAATACATCATGTTCAAAAGTATTGATTTTTGCACCATACAGAAAGTTGTTTCGGGTCACTCAGCAAGAGCTGTGAAAAGTAGCCGCACTGGAATAGGAATATATTTTTTCCAATCCATGAAGATATTTGACCTTTCAAAATAGCTCGTCCCTATGGGCTCAGGTAAATAACAACTAAAAAATGTACTACCAAGCAGGAACTGTCTCCAATGAGTTTTGTATCCTCTTCATTCTGTTGTCCAATGCGACTATTAAAAACACTATGAGTTTTGCGACTTACATGTTTTATTGATTGCGCTTGTCAAACAACACTACAGTCTGTCATTGATAGAGAAAATAAAGTTTAATTTTGACAATATTCGATGAAAAATACTAAGAATTTTCCAAAGAGGGTACCGAAGAACAAATAATGTGCACTGTCATTTTTACGACATTTAAAAAGGACCTGCAAAACTCCTTCAAACTGAGACCACGGTAGCAACTTTCCAGGACCCACATTAAATGCCCTCCACGCTCGTATTCTGTTCTCCTCATACTTGAAGTTGTTGAGTAAGCTTACACCATCCCATTTGACGTGCCGAGTGCTTGACGGGTTGAATGTAACGTAACTAGCCTTAGCGCAAGATCCTGGACCAGACTCTATGGCTGTTTTGAGCTGAATTGCTGTTGTCAAATCATTGCCCTCGTTTACATATCTTCCAATGTCTCCTTTAATAGTCGCTGCTTGGCGGTCGCATATTCCTTTTCCACCTTGAGGATCGGAAAAGTCGTTCTGTTCCACACCCACGCCAGCAATGTCGCCTGCAAATTTTGCTGAAACGATAGTGTATCCGCTGTGGTAACAGCCGGCATTATCTTGTTTATAAAACGCCCTTTCTAATTCCGGCATTTCCTTCTTCAGCGAAACAAGACAATCCTGCATTATCGATACCACTACAGCACTGTCTTGTAAACAGTTCTGAAAGACATGTACGAATGTTTGAGACTCAAACTGCTCGCCTTCTTCCGACTTCCTAATAGCAACTGTTATGTGCCATGGTAAACCGCGCTTAGCAAACTAGTCTGATTGCGGCTCTCGAAATTTTCGTGGCATAAATTTCATTACCCAATCCTGCACTAGTAACACGTCGCATTTGCTCTTCATTTTAGCTAGAACAGAACATTTGGCCTGATCTTGGTGAACGGAGCGTAACTGGTAGGCTTTCCAGCTCATGATATTATTTCTGGCCTGCTTAACAGCGTGTAGCATGTCCGATATCTGCTCCTCGTTACAAACTGCACTTGAACACTCACTCTCCAAGATGCTTAGAACTTCTTGCAGCTGGCAACACTGTGCACATGTTTCGTTGCGTGAATGACTGCAGTGGCCTTGGAAGTCAGAGTCTGTTGAGTCACTTAAGGCGTAAGTCCTACAATGATCAGCAATGCTCGAAAACTCAACCACATGGACCTGAAATAAGCCGAAGACAACAAAAACGTAAACAATTTCAATCACCGCATTTCCTCCAATAAGCGAGCTCCTCTTAAGTAAATCGTCCTTGGAACAAGCGCCCAACCTCTATATTAGGAGCCCCTTCCTGACTCGATCCAGCGCCCGGGCACTTAGCGGAGGAAATACAGTAATTATATCGTCCTGATCTTAACTACTATTTCTATAAAACAATTACATTGAAAAGGCCGACGGTCCCCCTTTGTTTGCAAAATGTACAAATATAACTTACAGGTTATCGACAATAATTCCTTCCTTAGTTACGCACGAGAGGACCTGGAACTAGTTCAAGTATCAATATTATGCATTTTCAAAGATTTGAACTTTAGGAAAATAATTTGCCTGTGTTGTTGCATCAACTTTCTGTCAGTTTTGCGCCTTTCTTTTGAAGTACTTCATAACAAACCGTGTAATAAAATAAATCAAATACCTTGTAGTCACTTTTCAGGTATTGCTTTGATGAGCGTAACTGTTGCTTCATTTCCCTGGCCCACACTTCTGTTTTTCCACAATCAACCAGTTTATCGACCACTTTGTCCAGGTCATCAAATGCTTCTGCTCCTTGAGATGAAAAGTTATCAAGTCCTTGAAAAGACTTCCTAACAGACGCAGAACACTCATCTACCACTCTATGCAGTGTTCGCCTGCTCATGGGCTCAAAACCTCTTTCACTGCAATATTGTTGGTACTGTTGAACAATACGCTCCGGAATCATCATTCTGATTACATTTGGTGTTTTAATAACCTCACCGGTTGATAACTTCAAAAGCCTTTCGCCAAATGGAACATCTTGAATCACAAGTGAACTTGTGATAAATGAAATGAAATCTTCCAATTTTCCTTGGTCAACTTTCATTCTCCTGTTTTCTTGGCGAGGAATCGGTTCTGCTCTTCCATGAAGCAGGGTGTGGTGTCGCGCTATGTCAAAGCGGTAACTTGTCAGGGTTGGGATAAATTCTTGCACCTCTCTGAAAGACAACTTGTCAGCCAGGATTGAGAGTATTTGCCGACGGGTACTCCAGTGTTGAGCGTTCAAATAACTCTCGGCAAACGCTTGAAGAAGCTACACTTCCTTACAACTTTTCCCGCCAGTTGTTCTTCGATTCACTTCGCGCTCACATAATTCCCTCCACAAGCAATTAGAATCTTCAGGAGCAAGGACTTCCATTACTGCTGAAGCACACTGTTCAGCTTTTCTCAAATAACGGCGTTTAGTACGGCTTTGAGCTACATTCCATGGTACTGATAGTACGTGGCGGACTGGGCTGGTGTCACGAAGCTGTAGAAAGCGATTGAGCTGTTTCAGGGATTCACCTTGCACATAGTTTATGTCATCTTCGCTTTCTTGCGAATCTTCGTCTGGCACGTAAAGGCTCTCTCGTTTAGAACTACCTTCTTTGCATTCAGTATCAGTGATCGGTACAGGAAGGGAAATATCAGTGTCAGCTTCATGATCGACCTGTAGTGCGAAAAAGTTAAAATATTTTCTATATACAATGAACAAAAGATTCGCCCACGATTCGTGGGCCAGTTCGACATTTTTAGTAAAGTTAGTGTTAAAACACCTATGACTTCCTTATATCATTCACGAACCCTGCTTCCGACTCTGGATTACCAAGTTTTCCAGTTAAACTTTAAATTAACGAAATTCTAATTAAGAGCTGTCTAATTTCGGATGCCATGGACACATATCATAGGACAAGTAATTTAACAGTCCTCGACACATGCTTTTTTAGATTTCAAATGGTGTAATATAACGTATTTAGGTTTTGATGTACAAATTAATTTTCTTACTTCTGCAGATACACAATGGAGAGGGTTGGCCACCCATCCAATCTACATCCTCCTCTCTCCTGCCCCCTCGCCTAAATTAACCCCTACTAACCGAATTCCAGGTGCGTACTGTAAGTTACAGACCGTGAAACGAGGTTAGTAAGATATTCATTATGTCTCTGAGGTCAATCGGGCGCGCGGGAATGGAAACTAGTTAAAGTTTAGTGGGCCGCGCAAAATTGACCAATCAAACCCCGCGTACGAACTGAGAGATACTGATAAAAAATAGGAACTCATTGTATACATGTGGGTAGTGCTGTGCACGCGCTGCGGACCTGTTTGTTTACGGACACCGGCACTCACTCACTCACTCACTCACTCACATACCTGGCGACAAAGTGGGTAGGGCACTATACAGTGCACACACTAATATAAACGCAATCCATAAAAAAATGAGAGGCATGAAATAAAGGTTGTTATAAAAAAATTGGATTGGACAACTGAATGAAGAGATAAGTAACGAAATGTCCTTCATCAACCTTACTTATTTCTCTCCGTCGTTTAAACAAATTATTCTTTCATATAATCTCAAGTGATCAGAATGAATAGACTAAAAATAATTCATTGGAGACAGTTTCTGTTTGGTAGAACATCAAGTAGTTGGTTGCTTACCTGAGCCCATAGGGACGAGCTGTTTTGAAAGCTCAAATATCTTCATGGATTGGAATAAATCTATTCCTTTTTCCAGTGCAGGTGCCTTCGTCAGCTCCTTGCAGTGACCAGAAACAACTTCCGGGATGGTGCAAAGATTACCCGTCCTTCGCCAACCTAAATCTAACTTGGCACGATGAACCGGACAGATAGTCATATCCGATAAATTCGCCGGCTTTTGAAAACATCCACATCTCGCCAAAATTAATTCTACCTCCGTTTCAATTCCGGAAAATTTCAACGACTTTTTGTGATTTTTGATATCCCTGTTACACCGCGTGAGAGGCGTGACGGAAGTTGAAGAACTTGTGCGTTCGTCTGCGCCGCAAATCCCACCAACAATATTCAAGAACGAGCAAGACATCGCTGTTCTATGAAGTTCCCCGACAATAAACTCTGGTTTTAGATGCAATGTTTCACAGATAAAGATAATTCGATTTATTTATTTAAAGAACGATGCAATTTTCGTGAGAACAGGTACTTCTGATTGGCTATCGACGGCATAAAGCTTCTCATTCTTAATAAAATCAATTCTTATCGTTTCAGTTTGAATTGCTATTATGATATTTTCTTTTATTTTTACTTCAGCAAGTTAACTGGGGAACCTGGCACATCGTTGAGCAAGATATTTTAAAATAAGACTTATTGTAAATTAACAGATATAAATATCTGTTTGTTACTCTACTAATTGTAGGGAAGTCGCTCGTGCGTGACACAGATTAGAGAGCGGGCCTGTGAGATTTAATTTCAGCTCGTGGTAATTTTGGTGTTTCATAGTTTGTTTTCCCTGTGTAGACAATATTTAACATCAATATATATTTTTAAAAGGTTCAAACCGCTAAGAAAGTAAAACCCTCATGTTTTATGTACAAACTTTGGCCGAGGAGTTAATTTATTCAATAGTGCATTGTTATGTAGAGTTGTAGATTTCAAAGGCGCTCAATTGGAATTTTATCGAATTTTGATCGGCGTTCATGCAAAAGTGCTACTAGATCCTAAAGATTTAAGACCGTAGACCTAAAAAACCAATGACTGAACTGTCTTTGGTTATAATATCAGAGGATTTGAAGAACTACCGGTCAGCTTTTTTCGTCGCTGAGTTTGGATTATTTTACACCTTCGCGTAAATGAGAAAAGTGTGTCTTCTTAATCGGGTCTCAGTTCGCTCACAAATAAGCAGAGATAAAAATAATTCCCATGGTTTGACTAAGGAAGAATCAATGTATTCAATTATACTTAAGAAAGATTCACAGCTATGTAAACGTCTGTGTAGCGAGAAGCTGAAAAGTGTAAAATTTCGAGTTTCCGCCAGGTGAAATCCGAGCTTCCGGTAGGGTGACCGTTTTTCGTGGTTTTCTGCCGTTGTATGGAATATTTCAAAAAACTAACCTCATATCCTTCAGTTACTTACCTAAGCCTTCAAACTGACAAAGTATGAGCGAAATCGATTTTTTGACCGTGGCCACGATTTCTTTGATTTTTACTGACAATCACTCTTAAGTTACGATTGTCAAACGTTTTGCTCTCATTCCAAATGTCAGTTCCTCGTTATTCAAACCTAACACCAGAAGTTAACGTTGCCTTCATAAGAATGCTGCTTCAAAAAGATCTGTAAGTTCTGAGCCGATAATGACGATAATTCTACTGCCTAACGAGTAAGAGATGACAGAGATCAAGCCAGCTTCTACGAAACGTTCAGCCAGTTTGAACTTGCAGCCCAACTGGAAAAAGTGCCTTTGTCATGTGGCAGAAGGTAGCGGGAAATTAACCTTGTTTACGGAGAAAAGCTGGGAGAAGTTTGAGAAATGCTCTTTGAGACGAAATGACCACATCTGACTTACAATGATGAACCACTGGAGAGAGGGACCCAAAGGAGGGTACCATAGGCAATGTTACCAGAGTTATACTAATGTAGGCAACATATCTAGGATCGAAGGGACTGCTAACAAGGCCGCGCCTGCATCTGCTGATCAAGGAATCGCTGCAGACGAACCAAGTAAAGAGCCTCCAGCAAAACGCTTCCATAGATCTCAAGTTCAGAGATTTGATATTGATAAATGCATCATTTGCCAAGTGGAGAAATGTAAACGTGGAAAGGGAGCGAGGTCAAGGGAAGCTCTAACCCAGAATATCAGCGAGTATGGCAGTGCATCCCTTCTCAGAGCAGCTGAGATAAGGGGCGACAATCGTGTGCTACCGCAGATAAAAGGACAGGATTGTATTGCTCGCGAGATTAAATACCACAGATCGTGCTACAAGAATTATGTTCGCCTTGAAACACTAACAAAGCTCGAAGCTCAAAACTGTGCCACTGAAGATAAAGAATCTCGAGGCTACAGCAAAGCATTTGGCAAATTGTGTCATTATCTTCAAAGTGAAGTCATTATTAAAACAAGAATCCTCAATATGACAGAACTTGTTGGAAAATTTGTTTCACACCTAAACGAGGAAGGCTTAAACATCAGTGACTACAGGTCATCAAAGCTCAAGCAACGACTGAAAGGAGCATTTGGAGAACAGTTAGACTTTCGCAGGCCTTCTGATCCTAGCCAGCCGGAGCTTGTCTATAGCGCCAATGTCGAGAAGGGAGAAATCGTCGAGTCTTTGGTTTCGCAATCAGATATGACAGATGGTGGTTTAGAGTCTGGAGCGGAGGAGATTGATGAACAAGGCCCAAGAGCCAGGAAGGACGTTGCACATCAGGTTTATCATACGTCAAAAGAACTGCGAAACCTTCTTCTGGACGTGAATCCGGTTCTTTCATGGCCACCAAAGGCTGACGAGTTACAATCTGACGCTGCTTTAGTGCCCGATATGTTGTACAATATGCTGACTTGGATTCTTACCTCAGATACCGAATTTAGTACTGAACGGGTTACAAATCTACCCAATCATGTTCATCGCTGGATTCTTTCACTAGGACAGGATCTAATTCACTGTGTTTCCCAGGGTCGCACAAAGACTCCCAAGCATGTGCTATTACCCATGACAGTCAAAAGCCTCACTGGGAATGCCGAACTGGTAACTCTCTTGAACAGATTTGGTCATGGTCTTTCATATTCTCAGATCGAAGAGCTTGAGACAGCAATTGCTGAGCAGCAAATAACAAATCTCCGCAATGGTGTATTGTTGCCGACCGTGTGCAGTCCCAGTGTTTCTGCCGTTTTCTGTTGGGATAACAATGACCTTCAGGAGGAGACTTTATCAGGTATCTAAAGAGAAGGACGAGTTATCATTTTTGCATCGGTATTAATTTGATCTCTTTACCTTATCTCGTCATCTTTTCAGTTCATCTGTTTGTACTTCAAAGTTAACTATTGATTTATAGCGCACGTACAATCGTTTATTTATATTTTATAAAACAGGAACTATTTTGTTCTTAATGTAAGACTTTCGTATCCGTTTCCTAACCCTAGCATATGACCACACCTATTACGCACGGTATTTACCAGTGTACTTAGTTCACATGTTAGAACTTCCAGATACGCACCCCAAAGCTTACAGCATGCTGTCTCAAGGAGACTTTGGTGTACAACGCACAACTTCCCATGGATTCTCGCAGCTTCCAGTTGACCAAACCATCGAACAAACTTTAAACCGCAACACGAAAACTAAGGGTGGCATAATAGGGTTTAGCCTTAAGAAGGGTGCTGTGCAGCGGTGGATGTTAACTGCGCATGCAAGAGCCAGCTTTGTCGATCGATGCAGAGAGATGGCTTCTTCGCATCCTCAGGACGAGATAAAGGGTCACAAGGAGTCAGGCTCGGTTCGCAAGAGAAGGGATGAAGAAGACGTGCAGAAGGTCATGGAGGTGATCAGTCAATGGAGGAATCCATTTGAGACGGCAGACGACCTCGTAAGTCTGAGCTCAGGTTCAATCGCAAGCAGCGCTTTGAAGGAAGACCTGCTAAAAGCAGAAGAGAAAGGAAAGTCTACGTTAGTGTCATTTGTACAAGACCGGCTGACCAGCAGTGCAGTAGGGTTCTTTGAGACACTACCAAGGCTGAAGTTAGGGAAATTCGGAGAGGTTAAGAAGACAGTTAATCAAGGGGGGAAGAGTTTTGTGCTCCGAGCTGACAGAAATCTTTTTGCCAGGCTCCAAGTCATCGGACAGAGTCGACAGATCGACCTAAGAGATCTCCTCACTCACGAACTAGGACCTGTGCCTTGGTCTCTGGCAACCTACGATGGCTCACTGGCTAAGACAAACAAGTCGCTCTAGCGAAGCTTCTGGAGGATGGTGTAGAGATCCTTCCAAATCTAACAAATGCTTCTGCTGTCATCGTAGATGCCATGGTACAACTGCAAACCCTACCTAGAATACCAGATCGTTTCATTGACCTTTCGGATGTTATTCTCAGTGCAGTAATCAAGCAAGCAGGAGAAGCAAGGAGGATAGACTTTGTAGCAGACCAGTACCCAAGCGTCTCAATAAAAAATAAGCGTGAGAAGCGGGGGAGATCAGGACAGTTAGCTGTCCAGATTAGAAGTCCACAACAGCTATGTCCGCGACAGTGGGAAAGTTTTAAATGGTTTTAACAAGACCAACCTCATGGAATTCCTTGCAGATGTGTGGGAGACCGACCAGCGCTTTGCCAGGAAGATTGGAGAAAGAACGCTGTCTATCACTCATGGGGAGAGTTGCTTCAAGATAAGCGTTGACGCTCAAGGTAGCATTTCCTCCAGTACTGTGCTTGAACTCTGCAGCAACCAAGAAGAGGCAGATACCCGAATGTTTCTGCATGCCTTGCATGCCTCTGATACGGCCCATCAACAGATCTTAATCAAGTCATCGGACACTGATGTAGAAGTATTGGCGTGCTACTTTCGAGAGTACATAAGTGCTGACATCTTTATTCTCAGTGGCACAAAAAGTCGAGCTCGTGTCATTAATGTCACCCAGGTCTGTGAGCAGCTAGGTGTCGAAGTGTGTCGGGCATTACCAGGGCTACACGCACTCACTGGGTGCAACACAGTTAGCTCTTTTGCTGGTAAAGGGAAAGAAGGCAGCTCTTGATATCGTGAAAGCTGACGAAGACAGCAGAGCAAGTATCCATAGAATCGGCGAGCGTGTCCCACCAATGAGAGAAGATCTTAGAAAAATGGAGAAGTTCGTTTGTTCACATTACAATGACGTTAACTCTTGTAAGGTCAACGATACGAGATACAAGTTATTCTGCAAAAACCAGAATCTACCGTCGTACCAGCTTCCTCCCACCCATGCTGCCCTACAGAAGCATCTACAACGCGCAAACTACCAAGCTTATGTTTGGAAAAATGCACTGGATGCAAGAATTCTAAACCAAGGACCAGATGGACAAGGATGGCGAGTTAGAGGAGAGGCGCTGGAGATCGACTGGACCGACCTCGCGCCGACCCCGGAATTTGTAATGGAGCTAGTGTGCTGTGGCTGCAGAGGAAAGTGTGAAACCCGTTGGTGCTCTTGTGTCAAGAACGAACTCCACTGAACAGATGTATGTTCTTTTGGGGAAGAATGTGTCAACTGTGACAACAGTCAATTCGGCAATGATGAGGACGACTCCGCCAGTAGTGAGGAAGAAGATGACCTGTAAAAGTTACCTCAAGCTATACCGTATTACGGTTGTGACAAATTTCTCGAAAAGTTTTTTTGAAATCTAACATCAATGAAGATTAGATACGAAGAACGTTGCAAGCGTTGCTATGGAAACATGCAATGCCACTAGCCTTGCTTTATCAGTTAGTAGTAGGCATTGCTTTATCGAAATGTATAATGATAAACTTTCCATTGCTCAATAAAGTGGGATGCATTGCTCAATAAAGAGATGATTGGTTTTCCTTTTGGTTTTTGCTCGGCTTTTACCAGTTGTGGCCCCAACTCCAGAGGATTGCCACTCATCCTTGCTTTCCTGCAATAGCCATTTTCCAGACATTGATGCATCTTTGGGACATCTTCAATAGAATTAAGGTGTCTCAGAGCAAACGCTCTTACTGTAGAATACTTTTATGGGCGTTTTCTCAAGTTAAATATATAAAATTTCATTTTTTATTCGAAAAACATCATATTTTCATACCAGGCAGTATTTGACTGGTGCCTGTTGCCATGGAAACCAAAAACCTTAAATCCGATAACACATTTGGATAGATTATGATACAACAACTAAATCTTGCAAATTTGAACCAATTTGGTTGATGTTTGTTAAAGGTATGGACCATTTTTCTTCTCACCACGACTACAGTAAGCAAATTCTCCTCACCCCACCCCCCATGGAAACAGCCCAATATCTCATTACAGCACACGTTACCGGTTTGAAAACAAGTAGATTCTAAAAATATAGGTCATAAGCTCTAATTTGATACCAAATTCACTATGTCCCATGGGGGGTGCTACGAGGCATAACTTTTAGGCCCCTTGGCTCATGGACTACTAGGAATTCCTAGGAGTTCTCAGCTATACAAACTACCTATAATTTAAGAAGGGTGGAATTCTTGGGAATTTTTGGGAGTTAAATTTGAGGCAATTTAAATACCCTGAGGTCCACAAAAATTCTGAGAAATTCTCAACACCTCAAATGTGAAGGTTTTAAGAAAAGGGGTAATTTCAGAGGCTTAAAACTTTGGCTCAATAAAAGGTATGCTATACAAAATTTACCAAGAGATATACATACATGTATATGTTTATAACTTAAAGATCATGAAATTTATTATTCAAACTAAGTTTTAGTAAATCTCTACATTAATATGGATTTTCTCATGAACCAGCAGTCAATTATGTTAAATGGAAATTGCCAATCAATCCAATGTACTCATATCACAGATTTGCTTTCTAACCTCAAAGGAGTCTTGGATTCCATGATCATAAATATTTTTATTGTGATGCAAAATGTCTCATGTTCACAGATGCACCAAAATCATCAAACATTCATTAGCTGTTCCTTGGTACACACCTTCCACATGTGTAACAATAATTACATTGTTATCTACACTTAAAGAACTTTGTTAGTTATGAACATAAGTTACTTCCCTTACCTACATTACTGGTTGCCTTAGTTAGAAAACCTTGTAACAGTCAAGCTCAGTTGCCTCAAACACTGTCAGAGACTTTTTGCTGACATTATTTTTAGTAGAACTTTCATGCCTTGGACAAACAAATTCAACACCTAATTAATCTTTCTTTTTTCATGATTGTTGTTCCTGTTTTTTTTCCAGTTTTTTGCTCTGTTTTCGTGACTGATTGCTGTAATTTGTTTTGCTGTTTTTATTCTTACAAAACATTTTTGTAAGAGTTCCAATACTTGTGGATCATCCACACACTTTGCAAACATTTGGCATGCAGACAAGACAGCGGTAGTCAATGTTCCTTTCAGAAATAACAACTTTTAAATGACGTCTTCAATTTACTTTGTTTGAAACTCTGATCTGAAAATATTTTTAAAACAAGACTTGTTAGTGGTGAGAAGTACAAACCAAGTTTCCTTTCGTAACTTAATTTCTTAAATGTCCCAATCCCTGGATCTCCCAAAAAATATTACATCTTTTTATTTTTGGTGCAAAATACAAGTCCTTCTTTATATACAAATGAAAAGCGCAAGTCACACTTCAATAATAACAGCTCTGTCTGTCAGCTATCAACAAAATTGTTTTATACTTCGGACAGTGCATAACTATTTGTGGACCAGAGTTCCAACGCACCTCTGTAATCGCATAAAGTTACTTCTGTCTCTTGTACAAATGTTTCTCCTTTGTAAAACGCACTCTACTCTGTTGTTACCACTACTTTAAGTTCAGTGGAAACGACTGACTGAGGAATCGAGATGGTGGTGTTGGAACGTGTTGCTGAACGCTTGCTACGGTCAAGCTTTAAAGATTTAGGTACTGGTACCCTAGGATCATCTATGTATCTCTTATACTTCCTAATGTGGTATCCTTCTTTGATAAATACGAGGGTAAAAGACGATTTGTAATAACATTCAAAATTGTGATTGGCTTGTGTTATTTCTCACCTTTGCCATGAACACAACTCAAGTGAGTTTCGAGTCTTTGTTTCCTCGACAACTTTTGGCCACAAATCGTGCATTTGTAGTACGATCGATTCTTGTCGATTATTTCTACATAGAGTGAGCTCACATCATTATTTATATAACCAAGGTATCCATCGTCTAGAAGCAGAGAATCGATCGGAGAAGTCAGAATAAAGTCGTGCGCTTCTCTTGACACTGCAATCGGCAAGCCAGCGGATTCACTTTGCTAGCCAATAACAAGTCCTAGAAGATCCACGTGATCATGCCCGTGATCGGAAACAAGGAAGACTCCATTTGGCGCTCATCTTTTAATGTACTTTTCATCGGTTGATCGCTTTTCTCAACTGTTCTGCTTAATCTAACTTTTCTAAAGATAGGTTTTATTGTGGTTCAATGGGAAAACGAGAACAACGTGAGTGTTGTAAAAGAAAAGAAAGTCGTTGGCGCCGTGGAATTAAAAGAAGGGACAACAGTTGACATATTGACTGGTACAAACAAGGGTCGAGTGGCCATCTGTAAAGCTACGATTTTGAAAGTTTGTGGTGAGTAAAAATTTCGATATTCGTTACGTGATCAAAATCTTATCAAAGAATAGATGTAACGGGTTGAATTAAGCTTATGTAACGCTCGGCGTGACTGAAACTCGAATAATTCTGAGAATCGAATCGGTCACTTGTATGCCACAGTTTCTTAACCTTATGCTTTACAATGAAATAAATCTATCAGTAAGGTTTCAAGATTCCTTTAGTCACGTTTGGGAACACTCAAGATTCATAATAGGAACTGTTATTAAACAAACCTTATTTCATCAAGAAGCCCTCCTTGGTAAAAACAAAATAATGTATTCAGCCCTTTTTTAGTAAAATCGATGGGAGAGATGTACTAATGCACCTATCATCGGCCATCCCCTGGGGGGGGGACCCCGGGCAAGGGTGGGGACTTTGTAAAGGACCCTGTCAAAGTTCTTATTTTCCCCCTCCTAGGTGGGGACACAGAGGAATCAAAGTTCCCCTCCCTGAGGGGAATCACCTTGAGCAGCTTGAAACCTGACAAGAAAACAGTACTTTATACCCTTAATGAAATGTCATGTTTTAATAGTGCTTACATGTTTGTAACAATGCAAATTTCAATGTACTGCTAAATACAATTACACAAAAAAATGTTAACCAAAATACAGTGTAATACACGATGTCTGTTCAGCTGACTTTTTGGACCGAATATTTACAACAATGTTGATGAGCATTTCTGATCTATTGACAGCATATCATAAATGATAAAGCTATCAAAATTCAATAATGTTCAAGTGGAGCACTTATCACAATAATACTCAGGCATCGCATCCGCATCTTCTTGTTTCTTCATTTAAGACAACTTGAAATTGACCTGTTTCGTTTGCAAAGTCCTCTGTTTTCCCCGCGGTGCAAGGCTTTTGGAAAACAAACCTCCCTCATTTCCCCTGCCTCCAGGGTAAGTTAATCGTTCAAATCCCCGTATAAGTCCCCATTCAATGTAAAATTTTCCCGGGTTCCCCCCCAGGGGATGGCCGATGATAGATGCATAACTCCAATATAAAAGTCATTCAATATAACAGAGATTTCTCAATTTGAGAATCCAATGAATGCCCTTTTCCTTATAGCTATCTAAGGCCTGGTCTGAGCTTTAAATATATATATATATATATTTTTTTTTTTTTTTCAAATTCAGATGTCATGGAATTCAGATACAAAATGGTCAAGCTTCTTGTAGAAAACCTCATTCAGGGCCAACTCATTGTGAGCCCAGGGAAAAAAATACAAACAGCAGCTAGGTTTGCAGTTCAGGATAACTTCATTCTAATTTATTGTTAGGTTACAACAAGATTTTAATTAAAAAATCGATTTTATTTAACTGTAATTAACCCCTTCACTCCCAAATATATAATAATATAAATCAAATATAATTTAAGATATTGTATTTTATTGAAAAGAATCAACAGATTTTATTCACAATTTGTGTCAAACCAAATTTAATGATTGATTAGGACTATTTTATATTAAAAGCTGTAATTGAGGATTAAACTGTATGAAGTTTTCAAGAAAAGAAAAAAAAATAGGTCCGCAATGCGTACACGTGTGGCTTACGAAATTGAGCTGCTTTTTAGTGTCTGGTGTCTCATTGGGTTTCTATTAGAAGAGCTAATATCTGATTACCATTAGATAGTTTTCAATATTAATCCTGTTCATCAATAACACAAGATAACTAGCCTACAAAAGTCCTGAAATGTTCATTCTGAAGATGAGTTATTGGCCAAACTTTGTTATGGAGGTCTCACTTTGAAAACAAAAGTTGTACATGTAACCTGAGGATTTAAGGAACTGAAAAAAACATCAGCATAATCTCCCATAGTGGTCTGATAGATTCAGTCATGATTATGTTTACGTAACAAAGTGGAATTGACTTCTGAAGTTTGTAGGTTGATTGTCTTTTCCAAGGCAAATGATGTGAAATGAACTCTAGGGAAGAATTTCATATGAATATTTAACATTTTGTGTACCAGTACACAAGGACAAAACTTTGGAGAAGGGCAGGGACATTTAGGAAATGATGTAATCTCCACTAGAAGCCATTGGGAGCTTGATTTCGTTTGAATGTATGACTAATTTTGGACAACACATACATGTAAAGTAACACAATGTGGGTGTAGGTTTCTTTTGTCCATTAGGGCATAAATTTCAACTTTCAGTTGATTGAGAGCAAAATGTTTGCTATAATTATTGTATTTAGGTTTTGCGGGACTGTATTTTCAATAAAGAACACAGAAAAATTTAGTTCAGGTAGGTAGATATGAGGCTGCAAATGGAAGAGTCTTGGGAAAATAGATAGGTGCATTACAAGATCAGAACACAAGCTATATTTTAATGAATCATATGTTGAGTTAAGTACTCTGAAGTAACATTACATTAACATTTCTAATAATTTTTAACCCAATAAGATTTACAATTTGACATGGAGGTTTTATTCAACAGAAAGTTCAATAGAGATAGAGTGTCGCCATTGTAATAGATTTCAGGAACAGTAATCAGTGGCATAACTTAAACACAGCAGGTTCAATGTACAGGCAAGTGCATGATGGTATCATATGATTTAAACTACCAGAAGCTTTCAAGTTTTCTTATTACTGAAATTGTAATTTCATGTCAGTGAGTCTACCAAATTCAAGTCATGTGGAGAAATGAATGGGTGAACTTGACATCATCATGCAAAGTGCTAATCTACCGTACAAAAAGGTCCAAAACAAACATGGTAAGCAACTGAACTTCATGTATCACTTTGTGTTAGAGCACACAAGAGGGCTTGTGAGACCTGCTTCACTCTCATTTGCCAGAACAAGATTGAACTTCATGTACCAATCAAAATTCAGAATAACTGTGACAGTTTGAAACTAATCTGTTAAGACTGTGCTTTTAAGGGGTCTACAGATGTGATTAGAATCCTGGGTCTCCGAGGATACCTGATGGTCATCTAATCCACATCAAGTAGCTCTAACTTTTAACTATAAACATAACAAATGTCAGTTCCATTGAACTGTCTTCATAAAAACTCAACAAAGTCTAAGCTCAGTTAATTAAAGTGTACTTAGGTATTCTAAATAAGCAGAAGTAAATACACAAATAACAAATGTTGAGCTCATAGCATGTGTGCAGTATAAAGTATTTGAAAAATTTACTGGTGCTTATCATATGAGAAATCATGTTATTAATTATTCATAACTTATACATGAAAGATACACATTCACAGGAAATCAACAAACTGATGGCAGATAAATTTGACAGTATTGACTAAATGAACTGTGTGCCATCAAAATTTGTCCTTCAGCTGAATTCTTACTCAGGAATGCAATTTGTTAGTGTTTATCAATATACATAAAAGTATCCAAGCTTTTGTTTATTTTTGTCAGCTACTGCATGTATCAGTCAGAACAACCTACTTTGTGTAAATCTGATTGGTTTCTAATGTGATCTATTGTTGCTGAGCCTATTTTATATTATTTTGTACATGAGTTATTACTTTTTAACCAATGATAAATGAAAAAGGCACCTAGCTATTTTCAGCCAATCAAAAAAGTGTAATTTTTCATGTATATCAGTATTGTGAGGAATTCATCAAACCAAACAAGTAACTGAAAAGGAGTTGTAGTCTACCAAATAAAGGCCTAATACACATGTATTGCCAACAAGTATAGATACCAATGCTTATCTGGACCATTATGAAGAGAATCTAGAAGACTGCCAAGCTTGAAGGAAGTCATGAAATGTTAAGGTCTGAATAATTCTGGCCATAACTTGGAAAACATAGCACTAATCACATTTCAGTTAACATTAAAGCACTAGGCTCCTATTCATATTTTAATAAAAGCAAAACCACTTTGTTACTGAGTTTCAATGCATTACTCCCCAAAGTTTGGAAACAATCACAATAGACATTTAGCACCATGTTAACAACAAACAGCAGTTTCTGGTTAGGCGTCAGATGTTTGTGACTTTTATTGGTTTAGCCATGTAAACATGAAAGTATAATTTCATTTAAAGAGGCCGTCAAATTGAATTTCCAGACAACAGCAGTGTTTAATTTTCTAATGGCAACAAAAAAGTCCTATTTTCACTACTGGCAGGGTATTCTGCAGTTTGACCAAAATTTTATCTTGGCATGAACTAAAAAGACTGGTTAAGTAATTTTCTCACTGAGCATATGGTATAGACAGAAATTCAGGATAAAAAATGTTCCGGTAAATGACTTGCGTGAAATGTGACCACACAGAGTCAATAATGACTCCTAAGTTTCAAGGTGGCGCGACCTGCACTAAAGGTCCAGACCATGAAATGTTGGCCTGTGAGAGCAAAACTCCACGCTGTAATCTGCACTTAGAAGACAAGCCGACTGTAAGAAGGACGGGTGTGAAATCTAAGCAACAAAGATGAATGAAAAACTAGATAAAAAAACGATCTTCGACAGCGTTACAGCTACTGTTGCAAAATGGTTGCTTTCGGAAGCTTTGAAGCTTAGGTAACTTAGCTGAGCGTAGACTGGAACCTATCTTTGACAATAGTAAACCATGTGACAAGTGCTCTGTTCACCTTGACAAATTCAGTGAGGAATAAGTATCTTGGACCATGACATAGCGTGGTTTACACTTTGTGTAACCTACACAATAACCGTTACAGGATAAACCGATAATTGCATAAAAACTTAGGCAAATGCAAGCACAAAAAACAAAGTTTATTTCCAACAGAAAGCCTAGGTGAACACAATTATGCACCTAGTTTAATTCTGATATTGACGTTGGTTTAACAGTCTCTTCTCTCTACATTCTGCTACATTTGCTCATTTCTTTTCCCTGTTCAGAAGCTGCTGGGCCAGCCTCTTTTCCCTAGATTCCTCACTTCCATTTACCCTTCTTCGTTTATCATATTCATGTCTAGCAATCAATTGTTTTTCTTTTTCTTCTGGCGTTTCAGTTAAAGACTTTTGCTTCCTTTTCATATGTTGTGTTTGGTTTCTTTTATTTCTGAAAGGCAAATGTTCAATTTTTGGACTCAAGAACATTTTGCAAATAAAGTTCATTATCACTGACAAAGACACCTTTAATTTCAAAAGGAACAAACCCCATTTGTAAGCAGAAAATGTTCAAATATGATACAAGGTCTTCAATTCCTTCAATGGTAAACAAAATACATATCCTAAATGAGTGGGGCATCCCATGTAAATCCCTGGAATGAGCATCAAAAATTTTAAAGCTTTTTTCTGAATTCTTAATCACTGCAACAGTATTTATTCCAATCATTAACAAACAACAATTGTAGTTAAGTTGACAATTTGAAAACACTTCTGTCAGAGAATTTTGAAGAGACATGTATGGCCCATTATTTGATGTCATGAACAAACTTCCTGTTAATGACTCATTATATTCTACTGTGTATACATTATTGTAAATTGAAACAATGTATGAAACATCAGTTAAAAGCAAATAATCATCTGTCTGGACAGAACATATAATAGAAGTATACAAATTATTTCCAATGGTAAGAATATTATTCAAAATGGAAGAAGTCCACAAATTTATATCTTCTATGTGATGATAAATAACAGCAGTAAGTGACATTGCTACACATTGCTTACCAGCATTTTCACCAAAGAGAGCTTCATTTCCTTGACTGTAATCAGCACATATTGTGAAAGCTGGTTGTAGTAACATAGTCAAGGTGACCTGATTATATTTGATATCAATATACTTTCACTTTAGTTTTAGTTAACATATTTGTGTTACTCAATCAGTTGATAATTGATTCCTAAAAAGTGAGTCAAACTAAGGTTTAAAGTTCACCAAGAATAAGAGTTACTCATGTTGTCTGTAATTACATCAATATTACATGTATTAATGAGTAAAGTTTCCTGTCATTTTGGGTCAAGTTAAGCCCCTACTTCTTTTCAAAACAGTTATATTGTGACTATATAAACATATCTAACACCACTACCTAACTCAATGCACAAATTGGGAACTAAAATACTCATGCTGAAATGTTGCTTTGCATTCAGCATTGAGTTCCCCTTGCAAAATGGATTTTGGAATTCCTAGGAGTTTTTTTCCCAGGAATTCCTAGGAATAAAGGTGTGAATTTTCATGCTAAATTTGGACTGGGAATTCCTAGGAATTCCCAATCATAACAACTCTGGTTCTAAAACCTAGAAATTCCTAGAAATTCCTAGAAATTCCCAGAAATTCCCAGAAATTCCAAGTTTATAGCCAACAGGACTTGGAATTCCTAGGAATTCCAACTCAGAGCACCAATGACTTTCCCTGAAAAGCTGTAAATCTAAAAAATTCTTAGGAATTTCTAGGAATGTTTAAGAATAACTAGGAATTTTAAACAAAAATTTGAGGCTAATGATATAAAATAAATACTTTAAATTAAAAAACCCCAGCTAAAATTCAAGTATTCAATGAAATTTATTTACAAGCTTAAGTAAGGTTTACATGTAAAATATTTTTGATTAATTATTAACATCAACATGTAGTAATATTAGGATGAGATTGATTTATTTTTCTTGTCTTGAAAACTTCATATGGATTAATCCTCAATTACAGCTATTCATATAAAATAGTCCTAATCAATCATTAAATTTGGTTTGACACAAAATGTAAATAAAATCTGTTGATTCTTTTCCATAAAATACAATATCTTAAATTAGATTTAAAAACCAAGCACTCTTTAGAGTGAAGGGTTTAATTACAGTTAAATAAAATTGATTTTTTAATTAAATCTTGTTATAACTGTAACAATAAATTGGAAAGAAGTTATCCTTAACTGAAAACTTTGCTGCTATTTGTATTTTTTTCCCTGGGCTCACAATGAGTTGGCCTTGAATGAGGTTGTCTACAAGAAGCTTGACCATTTTGTATCTGGATTCCATGACATCTGAATTTGAAAACAAATAATATATATAAATATATATATTTAAAGCTCAGACCAGGCCTTAGATAGCTATAAGGAAAAGGGCATTCATTGGATTCTCAAATTGAGAAATCTCTGTTATATTGAATGACTTTTATATTGGAGTTAGTACATCTCTCCCATAGATTTTACTAAAAAAGGGCTGAATACATTATTTTGTTTTTACCAAGGAGGGCTTCTTGATGAAATAAGGTTTGTTTAATAACAGTTCCTATTATGAATCTTGAGTGTTCCCAAACGTGACTAAAGGAATCTTGAAACCTTACTGATAGATTTATTTCATTGTAAAGCATAAGGTTAAGAAACTGTGGCATACAAGTGACCGATTCGATTCTCAGAATTATTCGAGTTTCAGTCACGCCGAGCGTTACATAAGCTTAATTCAACCCGTTACATCTATTCTTTAATAAGATTTTGATCACGTAACGAATATCGAAATTTTTACTCACCACAAACTTTCAAAATCGTAGCTTTACAGATGGCCACTCGACCCTTGTTTGTACCAGTCAATATGTCTTCTTTTAGCTCCACAGCACCAACGACTTTCTTTTACAACACTCACGCTGTTCTCGTTTTCCCATTGAAACACGATAAAACCTATCTTTAGAAATGTTATATTAAGCAAAACAGTCGAGAAAAGCTATCAACCGATGAAAAGTACATTCAAAGATGAGCGCCAAATGGAGTCTTCTTTGTTTTCGATCACGGGCATGATCACGTGGATCTTTTAGGACTTGTAATTGGCTAGCAAAGTGAATCCGCTGTCTTGCCGATTGCAGTGTTAGGAGAAGCGCACAACTTTATTTTGACTTCTCCGACCGGTTCTCTGCTTCTAGACGATGGATACCTTGGTGATATAAATAATGATGTGAGCTCACTCTATGTAGAAATAATTGACAAGAATCGATCGTACTACAAATGTACGATCTGTGGCCAAAAGTTGTCGAGGAAACAAAGACTCGAAACCCACTTGAGTTGTGTTCATGGCAAAGGTGAGAAATAACACAAGCCAATCACAATTTTGAATGCGATTACAGATCGTCTTTTACCCTCATATTTATAAAAGAAGGATACCACATTAGGAAGTATAGGAGATACATAGATGATCCCAGTGTACCAGTACCTAAATCTACAAAGCTTGACCGTAGCAAGCGTTCAGCAACACGTTCCAACACCGCCATCTCGATTCCTCAATCAGTCGTTTCCACTGAACTTAAAGCAGTGGTGACAACAGAGTAGAGTGCGTTTTACAAAGGAGAAACATTTGTACAAGACACAGAAGTAGCTATATCCGATTACAGAGGTACGTTGGAACTCTGGTCCACAAATAGTTATGCACTGTCCGAAGTATAAAACAATTTTGTTGATAGCTGACAGACAGAGAAGAACAACAAGTAAACTTTAGAGCTGTTATTATTGAAGTGTAACTTGCACTTTTCATTTGTATATAAAGAAGGACTTGTATTTTCCACCAAAAATAAAAAGATGAAAAAAAGCAACAACAATCATGAAAAAAGAAAGATTAATTAGGTGTTGAATTTGTTTGTCTAAGGCATGAAAGTTCTACTAAAAATAATGTCTACAAAAAGTCTCTGACAGTGTTTGAGGCAACTGAGCTTGACTGTTCCAAGGTTTTCTAACAAAGGCAACCAGTAATGTATATTAGGGAAGTAACTTATGTTCATAACTAACAAAGTTCTTTAAGTGTAGATAACAATGTAATTATTGTTTCACATGTGGAAGGTGTGTACCAAGGAACAGCTAATGAATGTTTGATGATTTTGGCACATCAGTGAACATGAGACATTTTGCATCACAATAAAAATATTTATGATCATGGAATCCAAGAGTCCTTTGAGGTTAGAAAGCAAATCTGTGATATGAGTACATTGGATTGATTGGCAATTTCCATTTAACATAATTGTCTGCTGGTTCATGAGAAAATCCATATTAATGTAGAGATTTACTAAAACTTGGTTTGAATAATAAATTTTATGTTCTTTAAGTTATAAAAATATACATGTATATATATATCTCTTAGTAAATTTTGTATAGCATACCTTTTATTGAGCCAAAGTTTTAAGCCTCTAAAATTACTCTTTTCTTAAAACCTTCACATTCAAGGTATTGAGAATTTCTCAGAATTTATGTGGACCACAGGGTATTTAAATTGCCTCAAATTTAACTCCCAGGAATTCCCAAGAATTCCACCCTTCTTAAATTAAAGGTAGTTTGTATAACCAAGAATTCCTTGGAATTCCAAGTCCTCACAAAACTGGAGTCTTCCTTTTCCAAAAATTCCCAGTAATTCTAAGGTTTTTAAATCAGAGCTTATTTGCATAGTTGGGAATTTTTAAGAATTCCTAAGAATTCCTAGGAATTCCCAGAAAACTGGGAATTCAGTTTGGAAGGGTTATTTGCATACTTGGGAATTTTTGAGAATTCCTAGGAAATCCCAGAAAAAAACTTGGAATTCAGTTCGCAAGGGCCTTTATTTAAGATAAGAACCCTAAGATAACCATAATAACTTTGGATATGGGAAATCTGGACTTCAAATGTTATGTTTCTGTGAGAAACTGACCCAGTCCTCTGTTATCCTGAAGGTTTGATGACCCATATGGAAGACCCAGAGTTTCATTCTGTGTCTGTGAGACTCCCCGATAATCAGAGAGATAACTAAGCATAATTATGAGTGTAGAAGAGTCTACTGCTTTAATTACTTTTCAAAAGTTAATGAGTCAATATGATCCATAATCAGAGAGAGTTGGCATAACTAGAAGAATTTAACATAGAAGAAATTACTGCTTTATAATTACTTTTAGATACTGTGTTTAATGAGTCAATAAGATCCAAATGTTGCTATCATAAAAACCAGAAGCAATATTACTTAGAGACAAACAGTTATTATATAAATGATGAGAATAATGATAAAGAGGATGAGATTAATAGTTATAATGATGCTAATAATGTGGGTGACAACAGTGGTAGTAATAATGATGAGGATTAAGTGTCTCTCAATTTGAAGCAAACCACTGGACATTTAAACTTTTGGAGATTGGTTTCCTGAAATTCCTATCCCCTGGGGTGAAACATGTGTTCAAATGCCCCACATAATTTTTATGCAAAAAGCAAAACAATCAGTAACCTGACTTTCAACCAATTGACCAAGTATTTCCCACAGTGTTATTTGTTAGTGAAAGTGCACTATTGTCCCTGAACACCTCCACTTTCCACTGGAAATTAGACTTTTGATACTTATGGTTCAAATTGTCCAAAGCCAGTCAGCCCCCCACCCCACCTGCCCCCCTTCCCCCCACTCTTTTAGCTTGGATGATGATCACATTATAATGGAAAGGTGATGATGATGATGATACTTATGATGCAAACTTACCTACAAAATGGATTCTATATGATGCTCAAAAAAGTCTTTACTTATTATAACTTTGTGTACTTGCTTTGAACTTTTAGAAAAGAAAATAACAAAGGTTGCTGTGTCATAGATCCTCTAAATTAATAACATATTGTAATCATAGAAAAGAGTCATGACTGGCCAAATATCCTTTAAAGTGGTCATACAGTGTATATATCCTTCTCAACATCTGCTTATATTACATTTTATGAAACTAGTGGAATGGAAATTGTTCTAACAATAACCAAAGCTGAACATAACCTAGCTCACCTTGTAAAGAGTCCTCGTCAAAATCTGGTGCATTTTCTTTGTCAGGTATGTCTTCTTTTTCACATGGAACTTTAATTGGACTTCCCTCTGTAGCCATGGCCACTGTGAGAAGATTAAAGCTTCTTACAAAGTTGAGGATGGTTGCAAATGGTAATAAATGTCAGCTCAACATATCACCCAATTGCAAAAAAAATATTTTTTCGCATCTGAGAATGGTAGGATACACAGCCACAAAATCACAAGCAAATAATATTAATAGCATACTAAGCAACAAAAGAACCAAAATAATTCAAAAAGTAAAAAATTCACGTTTTATGATTGTCTGTATGGTGAGATAATGGTCTAAATGGCAGAGTCTTGTATTTGACTCAAAACTACCTTGCCATGTAATAACATAAATTATCAACAGACACATACTTGTCCACATGAAGAACTAAACCAGTTTTGATAAAAAAAAATTGATTGGAAGCATTCAGTTGATGTGATTATTGATTGATCATATATTGATTAGAAGATGACAAAAGGTGAAACTTTACTCAGAAACCAATCAGTCATTACCAGTAAATGAATTGAATTCCTAAAAATCGAATGCAGTTAATCAAAAGGACGCTTGGAATAAATCACTAGCTGACAGTTGAAGAAAATTCAACTTGTTTCACTATTTAACAAAGAAATCAGTATAACAGTACAGTTTGGAAGGTGAATTTAAACAGTCTATAAAAAAGATTAGAAACTCACTTTTAAATTGTAAAGTAATAAACATAAACACATTAAATACGCTGGAAATGTTTCTCGTTTTTTGATCAAATGCATCGTAAATACGGGATGAAATTACATTAATGCATATATAACTCAGCTGACATTAGAGCTACCTGTAAATGATACTGAAAGTGTTTCGATCCTCAGCGCTTGCACTAAATCAAATCGATCATTTGGAGAATCGTTTTAATTCTCCCAAATTACTTCTTTTTTCCAAGGTAAATGCAAGGTATTGCCTGCGAATTTTTTGTGAATTCGACAGCCGTAACTTGTTCAAACAAGCTCAATTTAAGTAGCTTATAAGTAACACAAAGCGACATTACAATCAAAACACCCCAGAATCAAGTAAAAGTTAGCAATCCTCGTCAGTTAACTGCAGGAACGTCTTTCATTGCCGGAAATTAGAGAAAATTAGGACAGACTAAGAACATTTAAAGGCGAAAATGTTCACAGAGAAACTCGAAGTAAAAGTATTTACCTGATTTTCAAAAATCTGATTGATACCTCTGTCGAGGAAATGCAAGGCACGTTTGACCGTTTTACGACCTTGCTTCCTCAATCTGTTATGGAAGTATTTCAAAGAAAGTACTAAGAAAGACTCGAAAACTAAGTCACAGAACGAAGAATCGCAATGGCGTGCCAAGAAAAAATAGGGGAGTCCCCTATCCCATAACTCTGTGCAAGCTTGAAACCGGAAATGCTTCAGCTAAAATTAAAAGAAGAGCCTTCACTACATGTTTACATACATAAAATTAAAGATTTCTCATGCGCCTCTCGCGTTCTACTAAGGTCCACTACATTATTACATCACACTTTTACATGTTCTCTTTAGCACTCTTAACACAACATATGAGAGGTAAATCTTTCGGAATATATTCATAAAAATTCTGGCGCAGCGTGAACATAAACTGTTACTTATCTTATTTTCATTTTGTGATTGCATACCCTTTAGAGGACATTAGAGCCCGGAAGGTTTGTGACACCGCACTGATTCAGGGGATACGTATCCAGTTTCTTTTCCTGAAAGGGTTTTTTGGATATTCTTTAGTTGGCGGTGACATACCTGAATATTTTTATGTGTTGTGCCGTATTTTGACTCGCCCTAAGGGCTCGTCATAATACAAACAACAAGTGAAAATACAAAGCAATACTACATGCCAAAAATCTAATAAGTTATTCATTATACAACTGCTTGTTTTTATTTCTCTTTTTTTTCTGACAAGTCTTTCTGCTCATTTCTAATTAGGCGGGAAAAGCAAAGCGAAAAGAAAAGCCCAGCGTGCGCAGCCGACCGATTAACAGTTCAAAATAACCAACTGTACAATATCGCAGTGCACATGTGGTATAAATATTCCCGTTCTTTGAGCTCTACTTTATGTAGTTGGATTGTAAAATCAAATTATCTTTTTGTACTCCTCACCGACGTAGCACCTTAGAAACGAAACTCATTTATGTCAGTTATTCATACGTTGTTAATTATAATGCCTGCCGCTGGAACGAGGCCAAAAGCAACCAAAATAAACCCAATAAACTGCGTCTGGAGTAGATATCTCCCAAAAACTTAGCAAACTTCGTACGTATCTACCTTAACATTACTGAAATACTTCTCGAGCGCTTTACATAACATTATTCTCTCACTTTCATACGATCCGATTAGCTATATTTTAGGTTATTATTTCTCATGTTTAAAAGTTTCCTCAGTACTCTTCACACCAAACTTAATACGTGAGTCTTAGAAACACAATCAACAAGCATTGCTCGTGCTCGTGTTCGGATTAAGAGACAACGGGTGGCTCCGGGAACGAGAGTTGGCACCCTGTGATGTTTTCCATCAAATTTCTGTCTTAACTCTTTCATATAAGAAGTGATTACAAAAGCAACTTGTAGAAATCAGCTCAACGTAGCCTGAATTACATTTGATATATACGCTCTCGCCGAAAAAAAAAAAGAAAGCAGCATGCTATATATTTAAGTTCAATTATATACACAACTTTGATTCATTTACACAAAGTTACAGTGATATTAATCCTGTTAAGATCAGAGGAAAATTTAGAGGGTGCGTGATGCTCATATCATTTACCACCCAAGTCAAATTCAAATTACGTCCAAGAATTTTGAACCAATCAAAGCTGGACGCTCTAACGCAAAATATATAAACACCAAATTTCATCTGGAAAGATATTTAATTTTCTAGGCTCTTAATAAAGCAGCAATTTCTACCTCAAAAATCAACAGTTCAAATCAGAAACCTCAAATGTATGAAAAATGATAGTTTTTGCGTGAGTCTCACACTCAGTGCGTGACTTTTGTCACGAAGCACCTTCATTCCTTCAGGTTCTCACGCTGTGTCGCTGTCTGCCGATATCGAGTCACGCACTCGTGAAACAAAAAAAAATTCTGAAACAGGTGGTTATTTTACAAATTCTTTTCAACTCCCATGTACTATTATTTTTCACACGTTTCTTTGTAGAGAAGAAATGTGCGATGATGTTGACGTTCTCCTTTAGTAAGAAATTTTATATTAGATTGAAACCATTCAAATTTTTGCACTTGGGAATCGCTTTCGGAAAACAAACGTCACGACTCGCACAAATAACAGCGTGATCCAGTCTCCTTCGTAGCCTTTCTTAGACTCGTCACGCAACGCTCCTCCCTAAAACGGCTGCTTACTTTTGAACTACGTTCCTTTCCCGTTGCGTGACGAGACTAAGCACGTTTGCGAAGAAGACTTAACTTAATCATACCCGGAAATTTTTCCATACTGTGATCACAATTGTAAGTTCTACCTACCTGATCATCCTTTGTGATTACGTCTTTGCCTTAAAAGGGGTCTTAAATAACGATAATAATAATAATAATAATAATAATAATAATGATAAACATGCTGATCGAAGCACTTTTAATTTTGCACATAGAGTTAAAGTGCTTCGATCATCACTTAGCACAAAGTTCAAGCAATCCTTAGAACTTTCCTTGTAACGCTTCCGCATCACTCGTTTTTTTCCTTGATAGATATCAGTTTGTTATTCCTGTGCCTTTTTGTTGAATTTATGAACCTATGAATGTAAGTTTTAAGCCAGTGCACCGCAGCGCCAGAGTCGAGTAAGGTGTAATTCAGCGCCTTTAAGGCTAAAAATCAAAGAAAATTTGGGTAAGTTAAATAAAAAAACTGGTGGAGAAAACAGCAACTGAGAGGCTCATAATGAAAATATTTACTCAGTATACACAAAACCTCACACAAACCTGTGAAACTCCTTACCTCTGTTTTGGAAACAGAAGCGATTTCAGTCGCCTTTTTACGACCTTACCACCAAAGTCCGATACGGGAACCTTTCAAGGAAACTCACTGAAATTGATAATTTCCTTTTAAACACGAGAAATTCGTTCCTTCTGAATGAAAAATCTCGATATTACAACCTAAGCAGTAAACCTTCCGACGACGATGTTGTAAAATACGAGGAGTTGTGTTATATTAACATGGGTTAAGAAGGATAAAATTGATTTTATCTGCGGTTCGGCGCGGATCGAGTCGCTTTCCGTTCGATAATAATCTTATGAACGAAACTAAAGCGCATCGATCAGCGCCAAACACCAATTAGGATCGTCCCTCTTCTGAGCGTGGCCGAGTGGTTAAGGCGCTGGGTTCCGGGTAATGTCCTCAATATTGCAACTTAGTGGATTTTGCTCTCGATTGCTCGAATTCAACTCCTTTCCTGCACTTTGTCTGAAGCCACTGAATTGGTTTCCCCTTTGCCCCTGATTTTTAAACTCTATGTTTACTTACAGTGCTTATTAAAAATTTGTCTTTGGACAAGAAGAGCCACCTTGTGGAATGTCCACCGATAAATCCCATTGAGGTAAATACCATTTCTTTTTCTCTACATTTTTTTGTGAATTCGTCAGCATTTTAAGGTAAGTTTTAAAGTAACGCGGGATGGCAGTTCACTGCAACGAAGTGATTAAAGTTAGCAACCCTCGGTAGTTGAACCAAAGTCTCACACCACCAGAAAATATTTCAGAGACACGCTTCCCTGGCAATTCGCCGCTACCCATCTACACTCCCGGGTGGAGAGAGGCACTGTGTTCAATATGATTTCCTTTCTTCGAGGCGAATTACATCCGTTCGTTTTCTCTCTGGCTGTCGCTGAATGCAGTTCAAGACCAAACAAAAGACCAGGGTATTATAATTAAAACAACCAACTGATCTTTTTATTTTTTGGAGAGAACGTGAGAAAATACATTCATTAATGCCGAGTCTAGACGTAAAAAAGTAAACAAAAGTAGTTAAATTTCCTGTCAGTTACCAGCTATATTTGCCCTTTGTTTACAATAAGACAGCAAGTATTCAAATGAGCCAAAAAAGTTGAATTGTTACTCCAGCAGTAATGAATATTTCAGTTACTATAACTTCCCTGACTATATACCATAGTGTACCTCATTACGTTCATTATGTTTGAGCTCTTCTTCTCTTTTACATTGTAAAACATCATTGAGTGGCGTGAAAATTTAGTTTGAAAATTGTTCTCCATGGTTTTCTTCCTTTCGTTGGTTTTCTGTCGGGTTAAACAAGAAATCGTAAATAGAAGTTCTTAGCAGATAATTTTCTCGTCACAGACAAACGTTCATTGTATTATTCGTCAGCATCACGATCACTGAAGAGGCCTGGAACCCAAGTTTGTGACGTTATTTATAATTATGTCACAAGGAAGAAAGTTAATCTAACTGAGAGAGGTTATATCTCGTCATGTACTGGAGTATGCCAAGTAAGGATCACTTCAAAATTACACACAGCAATATAACTGTCACAAATCACTTCGTTAAGAATGGAGAATTACTTTTACTTCTCTGGACGGGCTCATATCATCATTTGACTATTCGAAGCAAAAATATATGAAAAATCCCTTTGTCCTAAACAGGTATTAATTTTCGAACATTTTAGCGGATATGTTCCGCGGATCAATATTTTCAAGTAGATGGGACGCTCTTAATTTCCGACTCTACAACCTCTAAAATGAATAAATTCGCCTGAATTCGTGCGTTAAGGGATGTCGGAATAACTCAAGAAATATAATTCTTTCGCACCAATGTAATGATTCACGCTTTTTCACCGGATACCCCATGAGGACAGATCGAACCAGCTCGTTCTTCCAATTATGCAAGTAGGACGTATAACTGTACATAGTTTGTAGTTATAGAGCTTAAACTGCGGTTAAAAATTCACGGTTTCCCCTCAATATTGCTCATAGTTATTCCTGAGACATCTGCAAATTAGAGATTTAGTAATAAAATTTCAAAATACCTCATCATCAAATGCCATGTACCAACATCATAGAGAAAGGTCGTATGCCTGGAGGCCCAATCCCCGGAGGAGACTGTTCGACTACAGTTTTAGGCTCGAGACATGTCAGGGTATCAACTCAGAAGCTTAATTGGTTGTACAAAGGCATAAGTTTCCGCCGGAAGCCGCTACTTGGAGCTTGTGCAATAAAAGGTCGTGTCTGACCTTGTCGAATGTCTTAGACATGTCAAGGTAAACAGAGTCTATCTGACTTCCCCTATCCAGACGTGAGCCGATCGTGTCCAGCGATTCGAGCAAGTTGGTTATACATGATTCGCCACTTTGGAATCC